GTTAGTTGTGTCCGAGGGGCTGGAAGCCGAAATAGGTCATGATCGTCGCGCCGAGAAGAGGACCCAGCACATATCCGATCTGCTGGAACCTTACTTGAAAGGTTCATGGTACTTACTCAACCCATTAATAAACCCAGTAAAAGTGGGTTTAAGGGTTTAGGGAGAAGGGTTTAGGGTTTAGGATACTTGTACTTCTAACCCAGCTATACCCAGATTAGGGCAGTTTAGGCGCTTATGAGTGGGTTATAAGTACAGTTTTATAATTGGATAATAAGTACCATGAACCTCCAAGTACTTCCACTGACGCTTGAAGCCCTAGGAGCTGTCGACGGGCACAAATCCCAACTTCAAAGAAGCTCCGAGACAGTTTGGTTTTGAGGGTCTTTGGATTGTCCATGCGCTTTTTTGACATTTACAGGTTGGTTCTTGGAGGGGGGGGGGGAACCATATTTTCAAATCTGGAAACATATAAACATATACACACGCATCAATACAAATAGACCTAGTATGTTAACCTAGTTTAAGTTTGGGATGTGACCCCTTATACTAACAATCCTTACTGGGATTAGAATCGAGGGTACGATAGTCCCCATTAAGGACTTTAGTATAAGGGAGAACATCCCAACCCTAGACTCTAAACCCTAAACGGCCCTAAACTCCATACCCTAAACCCTAAACCCTAAGCATGGAGCGGGAAACGGCTGCGACGCGTGATTTTTTCAGTTTGCCGCAGCTCTGCTGAGCGACGTCGCCGCGGCTGTGCCTAAGCCCTAAACCCTGCCCCCCAAGCTTTGGGTTTGGGGTTGTGGGTGTCGGGGTAGGATGGTTTAGGGTTCGATTAGGGTTGCCTCAAGCCTCAAGCCCTGAACCCTTAAACTTACAACCTTGAATCGTAGTTGCGACTTATAAACCCCTTGTAAATATGCACCCTATACAACGTAAGCGCTCTCACACTGCAGAACCCTTGAAAAGGCCACACAACTACACTTAGATAGGCACTTGCAGCCCATCATAGGCCCTTCTACAAACCTTCGACACCCTCAACACATCCAAGGGGCATGTTCATTATGCTGAAGACCTGGCGGAGGCACGGTGATAGCAGTTTCCCCAAACCCCCCCCACCCCCCCCGGCAGGAGCAAACCGAAAGTGACAGTTGGGCTTAAGGGAGCCTTTGCAGTTGCCTGGGGGTACCGGGGTTTAAGGGATAGGGTTTGGGGGTCTAGGGTTTAGGGGCTTCGGGCTTGGCTGTTTAGGGTTTTCGGGGTCTTGGGGTGCCAAACCCCAAAAGCCCCAAACACTACAAGCAATCTTCTTTGTCAACCCTCCTTTAGAAGATTCCCAGGTACAAACGCCAAAACAGGCTTGGGGGGTCTGCCCAAAACCCTAAACCTCAGACTAATGTGCGGCCTTCTCTTCGTCGCCGTACCGGCGCCCACTGACGTCCTGGCAAAGCTCAGCTGGCTTCATGGATCAAGGCATCCTAAACCTTAAACCTAAACCCAAACCCACGATGGTGCAGCTACTGTCGTCCACTTGCATCATGGCCCTGGCACGTCGCAGCATCACTACCGAACGCATGGACACTCCGTTTAGGGTTTAGGGTTTAGGGTTTAGAAGAAGCACTTAGTTGCTGAGTTCACTTGCCCCCAACATGTGTACACTTTCAGTTCTATAGGGGATTGTAGTATCCCCCTTACGCGTCCGCACACCCTAACCACCCAGAACCCTGCAAGCCTACGTTACAAAACCTAAAGCCCGAAACCCTACAACCCTCATGATCGGGCAGGTTTTCTGAGGCAAGCCTGAAACCCTGCAACCCTACAACTGTATATGCAACCCCAAAACTCTCAACCTTACAGCCCGACAAACCGAAACACCGTTGAACACCCAAAACCCCGAAACCCCGAAAACCCCGAAAACCCCGAACACCCCGAACACCCCGAACACCCCGAAAACCCTAAACCCTAAACCCTAAACCCTAATAAACCCTAAACCCTAAACCCTAAACCCTAAACCCTAAACCCTAAACCCTAAACCCTAAAGCCTAAACCCTAAACCCTAAACCCTAAACCCTAACGCCCCAAACGCCGAATTGCGGCTCCGTCCTCCAGCATCCTCGGGACAACGGAATTCCTCGGGGGACCGACTCTCTTCATCCCCCCGAAATCTCTCATTTTAGGGTTTAGGGTTTAGGGTTTAGGGTTTAGGGTTTAGGGTTTAAATCCCACACCCCTCCCCATGTAAACTTTACATGAGGAGGGGATTCTGGGGTGTTGATTGGATCCCGAACGGTCCATGTACCTAACTCAGGAGTACTTGGGCCTTAAGGTACCTCCTGTATCCCTAAACCCTAAACCCTAAACCCTAAACCCTAAACCCTAAACCCTAAACCCTAAACCCTGTACAGCGACTCTCAGGGCCCGAGCCCAAGTATACAATGATTACGTACAGGGACCCTTACTTGGAGGTTCAGGGTACTTATTCGGGTTTAGGGTTTAGGGTTTAGGGTTTAGGGTTTAGGGTTTAGGGTTTAGGGTTGAGGGTTGAGGGTTGAGGGTTGAGGGTTGAGGGTTGAGGGTTGAGGGTTGAGGGTTGAGGGTTGAGGGTGTAGGGTTTGGGGTTTGGGGTTTAGGGTTTAGGGCCTAGGGCTTGTTTAGTGGCTCATAATTAGGGTTTGGGGGGGGGGGGGGGGGGAAGCTCGCACTCCCGCCCCAGTGAAGTCGGGAGTTGGGGCATTGGGGTTTTTGGTCTAGAAGAAAGCCTGCCTATACTCCCGGCCATTTCAACGTATTCCGTATTCCCCCGAAATCAAAATGCCTACCCCCGACAAAAGATGCTCCCCACAATCAGCAATTTACCAAGGGGGTGCTAACAGCCCTAAACCTCACTGCAGATGTAGAGGTCTGAAGCCTGTGATCTAAGCTTCACTTTTTCCACTTTGTCCTTCGTGTATCTAGGTCGCCCAGCAATTGAGAAAAATAGCAGGGGGCCCTCTTTGTTCAAAGGATGTTCAAAGGGGTTCCACCCTGGGTATAGGGTATAGGGTTTAGGGTTTAGGGTTTAGGGTTCAGGGGTTGCCGGGCGTCCTAGCGGCTTCTTAAACATTTTTAAACGTTGCAAGCAGAGCTTGCTCGAACTGCACTCTGCAGGGGCAAGATCGCGAAAGCGATTGCCTTGGTGCACCCTCTTTTGCGGTTTAGGGTTTAGGGTTTAGGGTTTATAAGGGAACCCAGAACCCAAAAGAAAAGGGTACAGGGCACCACTGGGCTACCAAGTTGGCGTCCAGACCGTCGCTCGGTTCGAAGTCGAGCGGCGCAGGAAGCTGTCCATATTCACTCCGGCGGCGGTGTGCGGAGACTCAGACTTCGTCTGTGTGTGCCCGGAGACCCCAGCGCCCCTCCGTATGGTTTACGGAATATTCCGAAAAGGGTGAACGAAACCCAAAAAACAAAAAGACCCTAAACCCTAACTGGATTCCTTGGATTTCTAGGGTTTAGGGCTCAGGGGTGGAACAGGGCATACAGTTCAGTCTCCAGCAGCGTGTGATCCTGAAACACCTGTCTGTTTCAAATTTCTTACCGGGTCCAACCCACATACAGGAGCCTAAACGAACTCTGCCGATAGTATCAGTATCCCCTTACCATCCTTTCACTTTACACGAAAAGAATATACGAACGCAACAAAACTGACCCGTTCTCTTTGAATAGGCTTCGATGTGGCGAATTGCTTCTGGCGAGTGCGCCCCGTCCAGCACGTGCGGATGGGATGAGTCTCACTTCAGCCAGCAAACTCACAAAGCTAGTTCCAGCAGCACCTGGACGAACTTGACTTACTGGCCCAAATCCCAAGGAAATCAAAGTTGAAACTTTCAGTTTCACCACCTTATAAGAACCCCAAAAGTTGAAAAGTTGGGTTTTGAGCCAGTAAGTAGATGTGTGTCTACTGTATGCTGCTTAAGAAGCCCCAGAAAAAGAGAACGATCCCTATATTGCCTTTTTGTATAGGAAAGACACAACGTTCATCTTTTTTGGGGCGGTTCTTAAGCAAATCCTAGGTTTTTCGAACTGCGGGCTTTCTTGTTGGCCATAGTTCGATGTAAACGAAGACTGCCGCACGTGCACCCAGCCTGAACCCTAAACCCTAAACCCTAAACCCTAAACCCTAAACCCTAAACCCTAAACCCTAAACCCTAAACCCTAAACCCTAAACCCAGTTGCTCGGATCTCTGAGCCAGACCCCTTCGGCCGTAGGTCTCCTGCTCAGCTAGGCCCAGTAGGAACTTGGGAACAAACACGGTGCCCTGTTTGGTTTAGAGGGGTTTATCACGGAACCTAAACCCCCCAAAAGGGCCCTAAACCCTAAACCCTAAAGCCTAAACCCTAAACCCTAAACCCTAAACCCCAAACCCTAAACCCTAAACCCTACTCCGGGGTCCTAGTCAGTGCAGCTCCCTGCGACTTGGGATGGCTTGAAGCAGCTGCCCTACTTGGAGGTTCGGGGGTACTGATAGCCCCCCAATCACAACCACACTTGTGCGCCCCCGAAGTCTCCCCAAGTAGGGCACAGCCAGACTTATAACTGGGGCAGTCCATACATGCGAACCCCCAAGTCTAGCTGGGGGTCACAGGGAGAGATGCGCGCATGGCGCGCTCCCAGCCAGCAGGCGCTCAGGTGCTCAGCACCCGGGATTCCTGCTCTTGCAGTTGGCGCACCAGAGGCTTGAGACACTGTGATACACCTGCTTAGCTGGGACCGGTCACTTGGTAGCCCAGCAGCCACATGCGAGTAAGGGCACCCTGGGGGAGGCTGGCTACTTTCGAAGGGTAACCTTGAACTGGAAAAAAAAGGGAACAGGGCACCACTGGGCTACCAAGGCCACGTAAGCCGACCTACACCCTAAAGCCTAAACCCTAAACCCTAAACCCTAAACCCTAAACCCTAAACCCTAGACCCTAAACCCTAAACCCTAAACCCTAAACCCTAAACCCTAAACCCTACCTTAGTAGGTGAGCTGCCCTCGGAGGGTGTCTAGCAACTCCAGCAAGCGCGCGGTCAGGTGCGGGTCTGGCCCTGTCTGCCGCGTAATCAAGCCGACCAAGCCGGAGAAGCTCATCCTTGCCTTAGTTGGTGAGTTCTTAAGCCCCCAAAAAAGGTTAGTGAGTTCATAAGCACCAAAAAAAGGGTGTACACTTTCAGTTCATAGGCCCCCCCCCCCAAAAAAGGGTGTACACTGTCAGTTCTACAGGGGAGTTCCAGTAGCCCAAGGAAGTGCAAAGTGCTACTCATTCAGCTACTCAGTTGCCAGGGTCTTCTGCAAGTTGCGGAGATCGCGGCCGAGGAACTCAGGGAGCGGCGCGGAGCTGCAATTCTCTTCAACAAGAGAGAGGAGCTCGGCCGCTTCCATCGTGAAGCCAAAGCGCTCAGCCCGGGCACGACACAACGGGAGCAGCAATGTCAAAAGCTGAGCTTGGCTGCACTCCTGGATCATGATGCGTTGCTTCTTGTCCAGTTTCGGCAACTTCTCCGTGTGCGTCATGTGGCAGTAGGCGCAATCCGCTCCACTTGCGCAATGCCCCGAGATGAAGTAGATGCAGGGACGGTGGCAGGTTTCTGGATGACCCAAACTGCCCAAGCTAACGGGCTTCAGCTCTTGTGTCCAGGCCGGACATGGAGAGGCATCATCCTAAGGTGGGTCCAAACAACCCTCTGGAAAAATCTTTCCTAGCCATGATCCTCTTCCTCCCGATTGAGGGGAATATGTATATATATATATAAATATATACATATACACATATATATTTATTTATTTATGAATGATCCTCTTCTACCCAATTAAGGGAGGGGGGGGGAGGGGGGAAATATCAAGTGCCTTCCCAGCATCTTCCTTCTCCACCGAATCGTCAGAAGGAGCAAGAGAGACTTCTGGCCTAGGCCCAAGGGGTTTAGGGTTTAGGGTTTAGGGTTTGGGGTTTAGGGTTTAGGGTTTAGGGTTTAGGGTTTAGGGTTTAGGGTTTAGATCAAGCGACGAAAGGAGGGGACCCTTCTAAGGGACCTGAGGGACCTTTGGGGGTGTATTGTTTAGGGTGCAGGGTTCAGGGTTTAGGGGGTAAGGTTGCCGGCTACCTAGGCATAAAGGGACCTACATAAGGTGTATGTATATATATATATATATATACATAGGGGATATAAAAAGGAAGAAGATGAAGGGTCCCTTCAATCCTTTTCACCCCTTAAGTGGAGTAAGCTAGGAAGAACAAGGGTACCGTTTTTTTAGCTCACAGGGGCTTATAAGGCAAGCCTAAGCTCCAAAAACGGCAAACAAGGGCCTACTCTAGGTCCTCGTCTTCCTACAGCCTGGAGACTATAAAGCCTAAATCCTAAACCCTAAACCCTAAACCCTACACCCTAAACCCTAAACCCGGAACCCTAAACCCGAAAAAGGAATCAGGGCGTCCTCTGGGTCCCAGTGGCTCTTCCGGAGCTGGATAGGAAAAAAGAGCGCTTGCCCCAAGGCTCGCCACATAGGTCCGCATTGCCTCGGTTCCCTAAACCCTAAACCCTAAACCCTAAACCCTAAACATTAACCGGCCCTATAAGGACATCCTACTCTTTGAGGGGGCTATTGTAGGGGTCCTCTGTTTTCGTAAACCCCCCAAATTCCCTTAAACCCAAGAAGTGAGAAATATAGAATCTGAAGAATATTAAGCCCAATCAGGGAAATAGGGTTTAGGGTTTAGGGTTTAGGTTTAGGGTTAACAAAATATTCTGAGGGCTAAATATACCCAATCAGGGACGGGCCATGGTACCCTATAACCCCTTAACAAAGCCCTTTATAGGGTTGATTTTGTGGAGTCGAGGACCTAATCGTATACTCTAGAACCCCTTAAACAGGCCCTTTGTAGGGTTGATTATGGGGGTTCTAGGGCCGAATAGTATACCCTTTATAGGGTTGATTATGGGGGGACTCTGGGGCCTAATAGCACATTCCTAAACCCTAAACCCTAAACCCTAAACCCTAAACCCTAAACCCTAAACCCTAAACCCTGAACCCTGAACCCTGAACCCTGAACCCTGAACCCTAAACCCTTCCCGACCAAGTTGCATCTTCGTCCTGCGCCGTCTCCATCGTGAAGCTAACGCGCCGGGTTCTGCCGGGTGGTGTGCTGCGACATCTGACTCTGCCAGTCTTTTCCGTCTCGGTCTCTTCCTAGGCCGGCTCTTGACATAATGATGGTAATAATAACCTAATAACTGAATCAAAATAATACTGATACGACTAAGAATGAGAATAATAACAAAAGGAACAAACTAACTAGTCCATAAATCATAAGAAGAAGAATGCTACCACTAATACTACAAATACTAATCATAATGAGAAGAAGAACTCTTCTGATTATGTTTATATTGAAATGTCTGAACATATTCCTAAATATGATCCTCTCTTAAACCCAAGAAGGGAAAACACATATGTATCTATATATATATATATCCCTTAAAAAAGGTTCCTAAATCTAATCCTCTTAAACCCAAGAAAGGGAAAGACAAAAACATCCCAGAGGCCTTACCTAGCTTCCTTGAAGTCGATAAAGGTGTTGCGGTACTCGAGCTCGAGGGCCATGGCGAAACTGCGGCTGTTTCGGCTCAGGAATCCCTCCGCTGGCAGGGTGGAAAACTGCACCGGCGAGAGAACACAAGGCAGAAGTGCTGTCGAACTGGGTTTAGGGTTTAGGGTTTAGGGTTTAGGGTTTAGGGTTTAGGGTTTAGGGTTTAGGGTTTAGGGTTTAGGGTTTAGGGTTTAGGGTTTAGGGGGGCTGGGTTTAGGCTTGAGGGTTGAGGGTTTAGGGCTTGGGGTTTTGGGGTGGCTCTCAATTCGGGTCCTTGTTGGGGTACTCAGGCATTATGCCACTTCGGAGCCTGAGAGACTTAGGGTTTACGGTTGAGGGTTTTTCGAGAAAGGGGCCGCTGTTTTTAGACAACGGCCCTTTGTATCACCTGAAGCTGTCTTGCCAGAGGTACCCATAAGCGTCTAGACATTCGGAGTGTTAGGGTTGAGGGTTTGGGGTTTAGGGTGTAGGAGTTTTAGGGCTCATAGTCGCAGTGCGGCTTCCCCTACTGGTCCATGTACCTTTTGTTAGTTAGGCGTTAGGGTTCATGCGTGGGCCTTCGAGGGACTCCTGTAAAGTAGCATTATCGGGCTCATGGGGCTCGAGGTTTATGGACCAGGCCGGCTTGGTTTTGCCGCCGAGCTGCGTGCAGCCAGCCGCAACGCCCGAAAAGAAAATCTCGAGGATCAGCACCCCCAGTGATCCTGCGTCAGGGTTTAGGGTTTAGGGCTTAGGGTTCAGGGTTAGGGTTTAGGGTTTAAGGAAAGGGAGGGTTGTAGGAATTCGGGTTCTGAGGGTTCTTCGGGGGTTGGGGTGAGGTTCCATGGTAAGATTGAGGTGAAGAAAGCTACAGGCCGAAGCAGCCATTCAACCGAAGATCTCAAAGCAAGCAGTCCTAAACCCTAAACCCTAAACCCTAAACCCTAAACCCTAAACCCTCAACCCTCAATCTGACAAAGAGCTTGGGCGCTCCAAAGCGTGGAAGCTCTGCAAGCCCTGCAAGCCACAAGGCCCTGTAAGCCTTGCAAGTCTATAAACCGTGTGAACCCTATAAACCCTGAGATTTCCGCTGTATGAGTCGCCACTTCACAGCAAGAGACTCCAAAATGCATTAGCCTTTGGAATAAGAAAACCGTCATCGAAAGAAATACTGAATTGATGCAATACGAAGGCCATATTTCAGAGGCACTTTTTTGATAGGGCTGCTTCTTCATGCCTCTACGCAACTTATGCCTGAAACCCCAAAGACTTTAAACCCTCAGCCCTAAACCCTAAAAATAGCCCAAACCCGTAAAAGGACCATTGTCTTACATGCTAGGTTGCCCAGTAACCTAGGATGAAAAAGGGTGGCCCTTTCTTGCTTAAAGTGGTTCATAAGGGAACCTAAACCTACCAAAAAGGGAATAAGGGCACTACTGGGCATCCTAGCATGGGTAGTTCTTTAAATTTCGGGTCACCTTTTTGTGGGGACTTTGGCAAGGTGCCTCGTTTTTTTCGGGACCCGGAAGAGGGAACCTAATTTAGAGAACTACCCCACATCTCCTTGGACTTATGTTTAGGCTTCAGGGTTCAGGTTTCAGGGTTCAGGCTTCAGGGTTTAGGGCTTAGGGTTTAGGGTGCATGAGATGCGTGTGGCAAGGAAGTTCGAGAAGAAGCTGCCAGCCGCGGTGTCGCACACTTCTGAAGTTCGGCTCTGGGAGCCTAAACCCTAAACCCTAAACCCTAAACCCTAAACCGTAAACCCCAAACCCTAAACCCTAAACCCTAAACCCCCTAAACCCTAAACCCCCTAAACCCTAAGCCCTTATTTCTTCTACATCATGGTTCTATAGGGTTGAGGGTTTGCTGTGAAACCCTGAACTCCACGCTGCCGTCCTGCTTTTGGGTTTAGGTTTTCGGGTCTGGGGCATTAGGGTTTGAAGGTTTCGTGTTTTAGGGTGTTAGGGTTTATACAGGTTGAATTTAGGGTGTTCATGGCCCGTAGGCCTTTTCATCATTGCAAGAGCACGTGGTATTTGGTTGATAATTCAGGACGAACCCTAAGCCCTAAACCCTAAACCCTAAACCCTCAACCCTAAACCCTAAACCCTAAACCCTAAAACCCGAATTTCGTCCCCAAGGGTGTGCCTTCTCTCGCGAGCATGGCAGCGATGCCTTGCGCATTCGTGTCAAGGGGTGTAAGGAGTGGGGTGCTAACTGTGCTAAACTAAGATCCATTTTGGGGGGTTGGGGTTTAGGGTTTAGGGTTTAGGGTTTAGGGTTTAGGGTTTAGGGTTTAGGGTTTAGGGTTTAGGGTTTAGGGTTTAGGGTTTAGGGTTTAGGGCTCCCAGGAAATTACAACCCCGAACAGCATGGACGCGACCAGTTGGGATGCATCACCCTGCCAAGCAATAAACCAATCAACACCGCGCCACCCTAACCCTACTTGGAGGTTCATGGTACTTATTAACCCAATAAAAATTGCACTTGTAACCCACTTATGTGCCCTACTATGGTTATAAGTTAAGTACAGTTCATATTGGGTTAATAAGAACCTCCAAGCAAGCCCTAAACCCGAAGCCCTACGCCCTATGGTGCACACTAAAAACCCTATAAGGTTTGGTTACTAAGTACCCTAAACCCTAAACCCTAAACCCTAAACCCTAAGCCCTAAACCCTAAACCCTAAACCCTAAACCCTAAACCTTAAACCCTAAACCCTAAACCCTAGACCCTAAACCCTGGACCCTAAACCCTAAACCTCCAAGTATACCTTCGATACCTTCGTTCAGAAGGACTCCACACATGCCGGATCGAGTAGGGTTTGGGGTTTAGGGGTTCAGGGTTCAGGGTGTCATGGGTTATGGGTTTAGGGTTTAGGGTTTAGGGGTAGGGGTTCATAACTGCCATAACGACACAAGAACCGAGGCTCACAAGCCCCGAGCGCTTGCATTGAGATCCCTGAGGACGCTTCAAAGAGGCCCGACCCTAAACCCTAAACCCTAAAAAACCCTAAAAACCTAAACAACCCTAAAACCCCAAAAACCCTAAACTCCAAAACCCTAAACCTAACCCTAAACCCTGAAACCCTAAATCCCTAAAACCCTAATAAACCCTAAAAACCCTAAAAACCCCAAAACGCCTGCGATCACCAGCGAGCCAACCATGAGCAAGCGGAAGCCGATGAAACGGGCCACGGGCCCCAAAGCGAAGACCTGAGCTTAGGGGGTTAGGGTTTAGGGTTTAGGGTTTAGGGTTCAGGGTTCAGGGTTCAGGGTTCAGGGTTTAGGGTTTAGGGTTTAGGGTTTAGGGTTTAAGGCTTAGGGCTTAGGGTTTAGGATTTCGGGTTTGTGCCTGAGACCCTCTTTACCTACAGGTTTATGGGTCATACCTACTAGTTAAGGGGTAGTTGCTACTAATCTGCATAGGGAAATTCAAGCCCCTGAACCCCTAAATAACCCCTAAGGTCCCTTAGAAGGGTCCCTCCTTTAGTCCCTAAACCCTAAACCCTAAACCCTAAACCCTAAACCCCTAAACGGTAAATAGACTCCCAGGTCATGCCTAGGGCCTTAGAGGGTTTAGGGTTTCGAGGGCGTAGGGCTGCTCAGGGTCGAAGGGGGGCTAAACCTTAAACCCTGTAAGCCCTAAAATCAACACCGGACATCCTAAACCCTAAGCCCGAAACCCTAAACCTGAACCCTGAACCCTAAACCCTAAACGCCCGAAATCCTATATCCACAGAATTCAGGACAGGGGGGGCGCAGCTTGAGCAACCTTAACTCTGGGTCTTGCTGCGGCTCTGCTGCAAGGAACACCGAGGGCCACGTCTGAAACATCCATGCAATTCCAGACATCACCACGGAGAAGTTGTAGTCCTGGCTGGTTGGGTCACCCTAAACCCTAAACCCTCAACCCTAAACCCTAAACCCTAAACCCTAAACCCTAAACCCTAAACCCGAACATCGAACTAGGAGGTTCAGAGGCCGGCCCCGCGGAAAAATATTTGAGACTCTCGACAAAGATTCCTACGTTGTTAAACCCTAAACCCTAAACCGCTTAGTTTACGCAGGGTCGTGGTCGGGTTCGGGGTTTTCAGGCGGAACGAACCTAGCATCGACCAGGTCGGACAGGCTCTGCCAGCAGGTTGCGGTGGGGTTTCGGACTACAGGCCTTCCGAAGGGTTTAGGGTTTAGGGGTTAGGGTTTAGGGTTTAGGGGGTTGAGGGGCTAAGGGCTGAAGGTTTTGTGTGTTCAAGATCCCAGGGTTTAGGGTCTTGAGTTTTGGACAAGTGCGCTGCGGCTCAGATTGGTTGAGAAAGGTATGGCAGCTTGAAGACTTCAGCCATAGGCCCACAGCTACACCGAAAATGGGTTCGAAAACAGCTTAGAAGGCTGGAAGCCCCCAAAACGGCCCCGTCTGGGCCAGATAAGGTTGGAAACCCTACTGTCGCTTATTTGGGCCAGATAGGGCCGTAAACAGCTTGCCACAAAACAGCCCTATCTGGGCAAGTAGGGATGGATTCCAACTTTCTCATCTCAGCTAGCGATTTTCTAAATATCTGAGACTCTCAACAAGTCTTGCGGTCTTCAAAAAACATAGTTTGACCGAACTTCTAGCTGTGGCTCGAACAAGGGGAACTCTGGTCATAAGTGGTTAGACATGGTGAGACCTAAAAACTAAACCCTAAACCCTAAGCCCTAAGCCCTAAGCCCTAAACACTAAACTCTAAACCCCAAACCCTAAACCCTAAACCCTAAACCCTAAACCCTACCTACCTACCTACCCGTGAACCTTCCAGCATCGCCAACTCCCGACCCCGACCCCTAACTTGCTTGTTCTTGGCACGGAAGCATGGGCTCAGGTTGCAGGGTGTTAAGGGTTTCTGGGTATATGGGGGTTTCCGAAAAAAGGGTGGTTTCCGAAAAAAGGGGTACCCTTTTAAGGGTTCCCATAATAAGAATTCTACTATTTTGGGGTATGTTAAGGGGCACCCCCCTATTTTTGGAAATACCCATATAGGGTTTCTGGTACCTCCTTCCCCTCAAAAAAAAGTGGATGAACGATAGACGAAAGCAGAACCGTGAGGTTCCGTGTACCCAATTAATGAATACTTGGGTCCCAAAGTCCCTGTATAGGAAGTACTCTAATCCCAAGAGCCCCATAACCCTATAACCCTAAACCCCAAACCCTTTGGCGTTTGGGGTTTTCGAGAGCTCCTCCTGGAGCATCCGCGGGGAGACCGTCTGGAGCGCGCCGGTAAACCTCGGAGTTTCGCGATCTTGCGGGCTGAAGGAGGGCGTTAGGGTTTGGGGTTAAGGGTTTAGGGTTTTTAAGGCACCTTAGGGGTTATTTAGGGGCTATTTAACACCTTAAAACCTTAAAGCCTTAAAACCTTAAAACCTTAAAACCTTAAAGCCTTAAAACCTTAAAACCTTAAAACCTTAAAACCTTAAAACCTTAAAATCTTAAAACCCAAAACCCTATACCTAATAACCCTAAACCCTAAACCCTAAACCCTAAACCTAATGACCCTAAGCCCTAAACCCTAAACCCTAAACCCTAAACCCTCACTTTAAGACGCAAGACCTCAAGCCCCAGCTGCGAAGGAGAGATCGCGGCCACAGCTTTTTCCCCCAAAAAAAAACAACCTTACACGGAAGACGTTTAGGGTTTAGGGTTTAGGGTTTAGGGTTTAGGGTTTAGGGTTTAGGGTTTAGGGTTTAGGGTTTAGGGTTTAGGGTTTAGGGTTTAGGGTTTAGGGTTCAGAGTCTAGGAGTCCTTGAACCACAATAAGAATCCTGACCCTAAACCCTAATTTAACCCTAAACCCCAAACCCCAAACCCTCTATACTCTTCATCGGGGCGCTCTGCCACTGCCAATAAAAACCCCGGCCGCCCTGGCCGCGCCATCCATCCTGGCATTGACCCTGCCAAGCAGAGTCCCACGCGTGACCCTGCCACGCGTCCTGCCAGTGACCCTGCCACGCAGGATGATCCTGCTGGCCCTGCCAGTCCTGCCACTGGTCGTTGTGCCAGTGACCATTTCTCATTGGCTTTGGCCGCCTTGGCTTCTGGCCCCCTCTGAATAAATTGATGTGGGGCTCGCTATCGCTGTACGACAGTACGTTGCCAGTGAGGCACTACATTGGAGCCTTTTTCTAAACCCGTAAGAAACCCCTTGGAATAAGTGAGTGCCCTTTCTGGTGAAAGGGGTTCAGTATGAGGGAACTTAAACCCTAAGGAACGGAAATAAGGGCTACCCTAAACCCTAAACCCTAAACCCTTACTCTTGGTTCCCAGTCCTAGTTTTGGGGCGTCAGGTGTCTCGGCATCTTCGAGTGGGGAAATTTGCTGCTTGGGCTTTGAGGTTTGAGGGTTTTGGTATGCCACCGCCCCAAGGCGTAAGCCCTAAACCCGAAACCCTAAACCCTAAAGCCCTAAACCCTAACTCCTAAACCCTAAACCCTGAACCCTAAACCCTGCAGTCAGCCCTATGAACCTTAGGGTGGTCATTTATTGGTTCCCTGAGAGAATGGGTACTCCGCGTAGTCCCTTGAAAGAAGCCGAGGCTTCCACATGCAGAACTCCCTTCGAAGGACCTTATGAGGGGGTTTAGGGTTTAGGGTTTAGGGTTTGGGGTTTAGGGTTTAGGGCTTAGGGTTTAGGGTTTGGGGTTTAGGGTTTAGGCATCGCCTGCCAACCAAGGAACATCAGTAGCAGCGACACCAGCACGATGGGCCGCACCGTCCTCGAAAACTCGAAGAGAACCCCAAGCCCGAAACACTGACATGCATACAGCCCTAAACGCCCTAAACACCTAGACCTCCTAAACCCCAAACCCTAAACCCCAAACCCCAAACCCTAAACCCTAAACCCCAGGCCCTAAACCCTACACCCTGAACCCCCACGTGGCTCCGGAGGCCCATGCACAAAACGCTGACCAAAGGACCAGTGACAATTAGCACCAGCTGAATTTGGGATTGGGATGAGGTATTTGTTTAGGGGGTTTGTGAGATTTAGAGGGTTTAGGGCTTAGGGTTTCGGGTTTAGGGCCCCTAAACCCTAAACCCTAAGCCCTACTTGGAAGCACGCTTCGACGTAGTAAGTAGGGTTAGTAAGTTGGGTTCTGGGAAGTATTCAAGGGCTTCCCAGTCGAGCCTTTGGTTTCGGGCTTGGGGCTACTTGTAGGGTTTAGGGTTTAGGGTTTAGGGTTTAGGGTTTAGGGTTTAGGGTTTAGGGTTTAGGGTACTTATTAACCGATTCTAACTGTACTTATAACCCACTTATAAGCCCCTTCAGTGCCCAACATGGTGAAAAATGGGTTATAAGTACAGCTATTATTGAGCTGATACGAACCTCCAAGTAAGCCCTAAACCCTAAACCCTAAACCCTAAACCCTAAACCCTAAACCCTAAACCCTAAACCCTAAACCCTAAACCCTACAAGGTTTGGTTAATAAGTACCATGAACCTCCAAGTACTGCACGGTTGGGCTTAGAAACGCCGGGATTCCCAAGCAACCTAGCACTCAAACGGGCTTCGGGTATCAGGGTTTGTGCCTCTCTAAAGGCTGATGGGCCTTGGCCCTTATAGCGTTTAGGGTTTATCGGGTTTCTAGGGTTTAGGGCTTAGGGTGTGTCTCAGGGGGGGCAGGGTACTGTTTGGCCAGCTCAGTCTAGGCCATCGAAAGCCCACCTAGAACATCCAATCGGATGGAAATTTCTGTTTGCCCCAGCATTGGTGGCTTGTGCACGAAGCGCATGAAAATCAAGCACGATAACATCAACCCTAAACCCTAAACCCTAAACCCTACTTGTTCACGCAATGCATGCTTTTCTTGGTTGCACGGGCGCAGCAGCTTGACGAACGAAATCATGAAGCCACAGCACGCGCGCAGTTCGAAAATCCACGTTTGGTCTGCAGAACAAGTTCTTTACACGCGAAAATCCTTACGACGTCCACGCAGAAAAAGTCCCGTGCCGAAAAAGAAACACATCAACGGAAGGTCTAGGTAACCCTAAACCCAAAACCCCTAAACCCCAAACCCCCAAACCCCTGAACCCTCAACCCTACACCCAAAACCCCAAAACCCTAAACCCTAAACCCTAACCCTAAACCCTAAACCCCAAACCCTAAACCACAAACCCCAAACAGTTCGCGTAGATCCGAGGCGCACTGGATCGGAGACGACACTGAGGAGGGTGGCGAGGTCTGGTTTGGAGGCCTCACCCATTTAGGGTTTAGGGTTTAGGGTTTAGGGTTTAGGGTTTAGGCCTGTTCTGAGCTTGGTGTATCTTAGGCCAGTTGGGGAAAGTATGCTCACACAGAGCACAAGGATTCCCAGCTGGGGTGCTTCGGTGGAAAGGTTCAGGGTTTAGGGTTTAGGGCTCGGGTTTCAGGTTAGGGCTGTTGCTTGCTCATTTCTGATGGATGCCTGCTTCTGCGCTCGGAAGCAGGCATCCACCGAATGAACGAAAACAACAACCCTGAACCCTACATTTGGGGTCCCTAGTATATAGCCCTTTCATACACTTTATATTGAAGGGCCCATACTTCAGGGGGGGCCCATGGTTCAAACCCTACTTGGAGGTTCATGGTACTTATAAAACCCAGTCATAGCTATTTCGGGGTACTGATTAACCAATTATAACTGTACTTGTAACCCTACGTATCAGCCCCTTAAGTGCCCTAATAGGGCTATAATTGGGTTAGCAGTACCGTTAGTATTGGGTTAATACGTGCCCTGAACCCTAAACCCTCTTTGCTTCAGCATCTTGCTCCTAACCATCACTCCCCATAGGTTCTTAACCCGATAACCCTGTATATCCTACACCCTCGAAACCCCATAAACCCTATATACCTCATGCATCCTACAATCCCCCATGCAAACCCCACCACCCTTAAAACCCCGATGAACCCTACAAAGCCTAAACCCTAAACCCTGAGCCCTATGTAACCCCAAAATCGCTGCCTCCTCTTCGTCGAGGCCGCTCCAGTTCAGCCAGAGGGCAATCCTCACGTGGCAAAGACCCTCTAGGGTTTAGGGTTTAAGGGTTTAAGGGTTTAAGGGTTCAAGGGTTTAAGGGTTTAAGGGTTTAAGCGTTTAAGGGTTTAAGGGTTTAAGAGTTAAATGGTTTAAGGGTGGTTTAAGGGTTTAAGGGCTTAGGGTTCAGGGTTTAGGCCCCCCCCCCCCTAAAAGCTGTAAAGCCCCTAAGTCTGGAAGCAACTCCCCTGAACCCACCTGCTGAAACTCTGGACGCGACCAACGCTGCACCCCAAAAGCCCTCTACAACCCCCGACCCCAAAAGCTTCATGTAGGGTTTAGGGTTTAGGGTTCAGGGTTTAGGGTTTAGGGTTTAGGGTTTAGGGTTTAGGGTTTAGGGTTTAGGGTTTAGGGTTTAGGGTTCAGGGGTATGCGGTTTTCTACCATCCACAGGCACATTGCGCGTAACCATTCAGAAGAGGGATGCCCAGCAGACCCTACAGCCCGGAGAACCCAAACCTCGAACCTGGAATTCCTAAAACTTTGGCATGCTCCCCCTGAAACTGGCAGTCCTTAATAGGGATTATAGTACCCATGATCGAAAAACCATTAAGGACCCTAAACCCTAAACCCTAAACCCTAAACCCTAAACCCTGAACCCTGAAAATGGAACCCTGAACCCTGAACCCTAAACCCTAAACCCTAAACCCTAAACCCTAAACCCTAAACCCTAAACCCTAAACCTTAAACCCTAAACCCTAAACCCTAAACCAAACCCTAGCAATGGGAAGCATCCCATGCCTCCATCGCTAACCGAAGCACTACTCTGGCCCCCTCTGGAAGTATTTTCTATTTTTATGTATACAAGAAACATGGGAGTATTCAACATACTATTCTTTAGCAGGGTTCTAAGGGAAGTATGGCCTGAGCCTAAGCCCTAAGCCCCAAATCCCTTAATCCCATAACCCCGAAATCTCTAAATTTAGGGGGGCTTCCTGGAACCCAAAACAATGTTTCCCAGGAACTTGGATTCTAACGGGGCCAAAACTGAACCAGATGAGACAAAGTGCCCAAAACCCAAAACCCTGTCCTAAAGTCCTAAACCTGAAAGCCCGAAAACCCTAAACCCTAAACACCCTTTTTAGGAAAATGAGATTCTACCTCTGCGACCCCAAGGAAATCTTCTGTGGCCGGGCGTCAGCAGCACGAGCTCGGCTAAAGCCAGCCACAGGAAGGGAAGAAAGGGCTCCTTGGGAAGGGTTTAGGGTTTAGGGTTTAGGGTTTAGGGTTTAGGGTTTAGGGTTTAGGGTTTAGGGTTTAGGGTTTAGGGTTTAGGGTTTAGGGTTTAGGGTTTAGGGTTTAGGGTTTGGGGTTTGGGGTTTGGGGTTTGGGTTTGGGGTTTGGGGTTTGGGGTTTAGGGTTTAGGGTTTAGGGTTTAGGGCTTAGGTTTAGGGTTTAGGGTTTAGGGTTTTTGGTTTAGGGATCAGGGTTTAGGGCTTAGGGTTTAGGGTTTAGGATTTTCGGTTTAGGGTTAAATTAGGGTTTGAGGTTTAGGGTTGAGGGTTTAGGGTTGAGGGTTTAGGGTTCTGGGTTGATGGGGGACGTCCATGCAGCGTCTTTTCAGAAACATGCACCCCACCCCTTTTTTTAGGCTTCTCCTGTATAAGCCCTAAACTCATAGACCTTCACCTGAGTCCGGGGTTTTCGAATTGACAGGTGGTGACTTATCTTGCGAGCCCCAGGGCAATAGGCATCTAGTGGGCATTTTCACTTTGGGACCCTGTAGCCCCCTAAACCCTCTAAAACCCGAGGCCTCAAATCGTTTGATATCCCAGAAAATAACCCCCTTAAACCCGAAACCCGAAACCCGAAACCCGAAACCCTAAACCCTAAACCCTAAACCCTAAACCTTTAGGGCCTTAGCCCCAAACCCTAAGCCCCAGACCCTAAACAGTAGACCCTAGACCCTAGACCCTAAACCCTAAACCCTAACCCCTAACCCGAGACCCTAAATCTGGTCGAGGGTGTGGAGGGCTCGGGGTTTAGTTCGTTCTTCAAGCCGCAAGCAGTCATCAGCTCCAGAACCGGAAGCCCTTCAAACCCCTCTAGAGCCGCAACACTGAATTCCCGCCAAAACATTGCCCTAAACCCTATATAAACCCTAACCCGAAACCCTGAACCCTCTTTCACCTTAGTCCCTCTCATTTTTCAAAATTGGCACTGGACCAACTTCGTGGGCTGGGCAGTTCGCAGCCTTCGGATCCCTATACACTTAAGGGTACGAGACCACTAAGGGCCCATGGGGTTTAGGGTTTAGGGTTTAGGGCATGGTTCTGACCTCAGATCTTTTCTCCGGCGCACTTGCAGGCTTTAGGTTTAGAGGGCCGGGCGTGTGTGCTGCCTGTTCTCTCAGTGGAGGTGTGGCTTGTTGGGACTCCGTTCCCTCCAGACCCAAATAGAATCTGACGAGAGGCGACGGACCCTAAACCCCAAACCCTCAACCCTAAACCCCCAATCCGACGAGAGGCGACAGAGAAGGCAAGAGCACCGAAAGGTGTCCCGCAAACCAGGCCGGCATAGATGAACTTGACCTTGAGGTGGCGGATAGACAAGAGCACAGCCTGTACAGTCTTTGACCCCAAGGCTTCCCTATACCCGTTAACCCTAAACCCTAGACCCTAAACCCTAAACCCTAAACCCTAAACCCCCTCAGATTGCCGACTTTTTGTGGGGTTGCTGTGTTTGGGACGGGCTTGAGCCGGCTCGGATTTCAGGTGTCTCTCTGTGTCGGAGTGCCAGGGAAGCCAACAGCCCTAAACGGGCTGTTGTGTTTAGGGATGAGGGTTTGGGGTTTAGGGCTATTGGCTTCATGGTTTAGGGTCTACTGGGCCTTGGGCTTTTGCGGTTTGGGGCCACTATTGGGTCGTCGGGCTGGGTCGTGGGCTTTAGGCTTAGCGGGGCCTACTGGCCTTGGACTGTAGGGGGCCTTATGCTGTTTCAAGGTAGGTAGGATGGAAGGTGGCTTGAGGAGTGAATGTACAGCGAAATAGTCCTAAATAATGTTGTGGGACCCAATGAGAGGGTGGGTATGTCTCCGTCGCCTGACAGCTGCTTGACATTGCCTTGAGATGCTGAACCCGAAACTGAAACCCTAAACCCTCAAACCTTGGCTGCCAAAGCCAAAACCGCTTTGCTTCTAACAGTCCCGAAGCCCTACCCCCCCCCCCCCCTGCCCCCCCTAAAGTTTAGGACCCTCAGTCCTAAACGCTAAACGACATTAGGGTTGAGGGGAAGGGACCCTGACGGCTAAACCCCAAACCCCAAACCCCAAACCCCAAACCCTAAACCTAAAACCTAAACCCTAAACCCCTAAACCCTAAACCCTAAACCCTAAACCCTAAACCCTAAACCCTAAACCCTAAACCCTAAACCCTAAACCCTAAACCCTAAACCCTAAACCCTAAACCCTAAACCCTAAACCCAAACTTTGGGGTGCCGCCGAGGCTCGGCTATGCCACTTTGAGCCGCCTGGTGATTCTAGGGTTTAGGGTTTAGGGTTTAGGGTTTAGGGATACGCAGGCTTTCGTACTGTCTTCCCTGAAGTGAAACGTCAGTGGATTTTTGCTGATTGTCCCTGTAGCCGTTTCTCCAAGACACAGCCGCCATGCAGAACAAAGGTGGGGGTTAGTTTGAGCTTTTCTTTTTTTGGGGGGATTTCGGGTTCAGGGTTTAGGGTTTTTGGTTTGAGTTGTCGCTGTGACCCTTGCTCCCGTACCCAAAGCCCAACACCCACCCAAAACGACCCAAAAACCCTCAACCCCAAACCCCAAACCCCAAACCCCAAACCCCAAACCCCAAACCCCAAGCCCTAAACCCTAAACCCTAAGAGCGCTAAGGCGGCTAGCAGGCCTCGAAGCGGCTCGTGGTGCGCGGGCTTGCCTTGCTCTCCAGGTGCTTCATAGAACCCGTTTAGGGTTTAGGGTTTAGGGTTTAGGGTTTAGGGTTTAGGGCTTCAGGGCTTTAGGGTTTTAGGGTTTATAGGGTCTAGGGCAAGGTGTCCCCAGAGTCAAGTTTAGGGTGTTGGTTTTCGGGTTTAGGGTTTAGGGCTTTAGGGCTTGAGGGCTTTAGGGCTTTAGGGTTTGCAGGGTTTAGGTTTAGCATTTTGGGGGGTGGGCTTGAGGGTTTTGGGGAGTTGTTGTCTAGGGTTCGGAGAGTTCAGAGAGTTTAGGGCTGTAGGGCTTTAGGGTGTGGAGTGTTAGGCTTTTTCGGGTTGAGGCCTTAGGGCTCTTAGGGTGAAACTACAGGGTTCCGGGTCGAGAGACTTTTAGGTTCAGGAGGTTCAGGGTCTTAGGGTTTGGAGTTTGAAGGTTTAAGGTTTTAATGTTTAGATTAGTATGCTTCAGTTTAGGGTTTAGGGTGCAGGGTATAGGGTTTAGGGTGCAGGTTGTAGGGTTTCGGGTGTAGGCTGCAGGGTTTAGGGTTTGAGGCTAGGGTATTGGCGGAGATTTTGGGGAGCTTGAGGGTTTTGCATCTGGGGGTCAGGGGGGTTTGAGGTCTAGGTTGCAGGGTTTCGGGCTTGAGCATTCAGGGGTGGTCAGAATTAGAGATAATTAGAGAATGCAAAGAATACCTCTTCGAGCTACGCTTCTTGTCAGCAGTGGTCCATTTGCGAAAGCCCGTGCCATCTGCTTCGACGTCACCACAAAGACGACGCTTTCGCTGCATGTTCTCCGCGCACTGTGCCTCCCGCAGACGCAAAGCCTTGCAGAGCTTGTGGAGCATGCCGGCCCGAGATCCACTGAAGCCGAGGCTCTTCGCACATGTTTGCAAAGAACCTCCGGTGTGCTGCAGCTCCTCAGCACTGCAGCTCCAGAATGCTGAGAGAATGGAATTAGAAGGTGCAGTGCCGCACTTCTTTGCATTAATTGAGGCAGGTTTACGAACAACGATTCGGGCTTGCATTGTTTTCTCTTTGCAGGACAGAACCCCCCCCCCCCCCCCCCCCACATTCCCCCCCCTCCCCACCGCCTCAGAACCCGGCCGAACCTTCTCCACCAAACAGAGCTCCCAGAAAAGGCTCCGAACAGGCCGAAAAAGAAGGCACGGAAAACGACCCATGTGCTAAAACCCTAAACCCTAAACCCTAAACCTTAAACCCTAAACCCTAAACCCTAAACCCTAAACCCTAAACCCTAAACCCTGAGCCCCGCTCAAGGCCTGAATGAGAAGAGCTGAGGCCATCCCCTGCACCGCCCGCGCCAGGCAGAAGAAGCTATAACCTCGGCTTCAAGGAGCCTAACCCTAAACCCTAAACCCTAAACCCTAAACCCTAAACCCTAAACCCTAAACCCTAAACCCTAAACCCTAAACCCTAAACCCTAAGCCCTAAGCCCTAACCCTAAACCCTAAACCCTAAACCCTAAACCCCAACCCCAAACCCTACCCCTAGTCCTAAACCTGAATCCTGAACCCTAAATCCTAAAAAGCCGGAGCCTTCAAAGCAGAAGTACTGCACGGTGCACTAATGCAAGCCCTACACTCCAAAGATCCACTTCAACCCTGAACCCTGTACGCCCCCTAGACTTACCAAGGACATGTTCTATTGAACGGCTAATGGCAGAACAAACCAAGGGGGCTTTGGGGTGCATAGCCGCCTAAAGCGCTGCTAAGTCTCCTCCCTTGCCCTCATACCCTCAAACCTGCCGAACACCCCTCCCCCCCCAAAAAAAAAACAATATATATATATATATATAAATTAACAAACAAATATATATATATATATATATATATATATATATATATCAAAACATAAACCCTAAGCCCCAGACCCTAGAATCGAACCCCACACCAAGAAATTCAACTCTGGTCGAGGCGCTTGGCATCAGTGCCTGCATCCGTACCCATACCCAGGTTTCGGCTAAGTACCTAACCAACCACACCCTATCCCTTAAGAGTTTAGGGTTAGGGGTTAAGGCCTACTTGTAGTCTTGGTACTAGCTTTCCCCTAGACCGCCATCGACAGAGTCCATTCGGATTTACGCGGTGAAGGGTGTAGGATGTTTTTCTTTTGGCTCTTGGGGTTTAGGTTAAAAAGGCCGGTGGCCTCTTTATCTGTTACCCCTGTACCTTAAAACGACCCCTAGATACCCTTATAAGAACCCCCCCCTACAAAACAGAAACCCTACTTAAGGAGACCAACCACCATAAGGTTTGGGGTTTGAGGGTTTGAGGCTTTCGCCCTAAACCCTGGGAGATGGCTCGTGCTTGGTGGAGTCTTGCGATTTGTGTTTTCGCATACGAGAGCTGGGCAGGCTCAGTCAAGGACACGCGTTCGTGATATTTGGGCTTTAGGGTGTTGAGTTAGTGTGTAGGGTTTGGGGTTTTGGGTTTGGAGCTTAGGTTGAGGGGTTGAAAAAATGCACTGCCAGCAACATTGTATGCTAGGTATAGCCATCATGTGTGGTGTAGCAGCTGCTCCCACAGAGAAAACCCACAACACCCTAGGGTTTGGGGTTTAGGGTTTAGAAGCACTCAAACCCAATAGAGGGACACCCCACAGCCACCACCGTTGAGAGAAGAGGCCTTTAGATACCGGATGCCGGCTCTGCGCGCTAGCTTCGTTCCCAACCCTATGGAAAGAGGGATCTACTTCCAGGATTGAATGTTTAAGCCCCTAAATGCTCCTAGGCCCTAAGCCCTGAACCCTAAGCCCCAACAAAATGCAAAAAAACATGCTTTCTCTCTCTCACACAGGGTTTAGGGTTTAGGGTTTAGGGTTCAGGGTTTAGGGTTTAGGGTTTCAAACACGAACCTGGGGTGCCCAGCCTGCATAAGTAGCCCGCTGACTTGAAGGGCCAGGCCAATCTGCGTGGAGAAGAGCTCGCGGGAGCGAACAAACCTGCGCCCCCGGGCGCGGGAATCCGAACGCAAACCCTCGAAACCCTTAGACCCTGAACCCCAACTGAGCCCTAAACCCTAAACCCTTAACCATAAAACCCTAAACCCCAAACCACTAAACCCTAGCTAGACCCTATTCCATCACAAAGGCTTGTAGATTTATGAGGGAGAAGGGTCGGTTCGGGATCCCCAAAACCAACCCTAAACCGTAAACCCCAAACCCTGAACAAAACACGCCCAAAACCCTATACCCTAAACCCCTACTACACACTGAAACCCAAAAGCCGAAACCCCAAACCAGAACACAAACCAACAAAAACAAAAAGCCTAAACCCCATAGCCCAAAGCCCCCAAGGCTAAATAGTACGAATCTTAAATGATCCACCGCCTCCCCTCCCTTCCCAGGCCTTATGCTGAATTCTAGCAACCCTAAAACCTAAACCCTAAACCCCAAACCCTAAACCCCAAACCCTAAACCTCAACAAACCCAAAACCTTAAACCTTAAACCCTAAACCCTAAACCCCCCCTTCCCAGGCCTTATACTGAAGGGCGCCGTCAGGGCTTGTGCCAGGGGCTTGGCGGCCACCAAAACCGCGACAGAAATGAAGTCCGGCGCCTCCGGGGGCTGTGGGGGGTTTTGGGGTTTGGGGTTTTGGGATTGGGGGTTTAGGGTTTAGGGTTTAGGGTTTAGGGCTAGGGTTTAGGGTTTAGGGTTTAGGGTTTAGGGTTTAGGGTTTAGGGTTTAGGGTTTAGGGTTTAGGGTTTAGGGTTTAGGTTAGGGTTTAGGGTTTAGGGTTTAGGGTTTAGGGTTTAGGGTTTAGGGTTTAGGGTTTAGGGTTTAGGGTTTAGGGTTTAGGGTTTAGGGTTTAGGGTTTAGGGTTTGGGGTTTAGAGTTTAGGGTTTGGGGTTTAGGGTTTAGGGCCCAGGGGTTAATTTAGGGCTGCGGGGTTAAGGGGTTTAGGCTGTTTTGGTTTATTATTCAGTAGTCAATTGAAATTGTCGTTTAAAGACAGATGCACACTTTGGGGATTTAAGTTGCGTTTAAATTAGGGAGTTCGGGTCACAAGTGTTTTGTGAAGGGGTCCGGGGGATAAGGGGACTGCGTAGGGTTTGGGCGTGAGCTGTGGGATTCAGATCTCAGAGTCATGGGCCCCCAAACCCTGAAATAGTGCGAGTCCTTGGTGTCGTAGGGTCAAGGACTTTCTTGACAGAAGCCCTACACCCTAAACCTAAACCCCCCCCAGGCCTGAAGGAACCTAGGAATGCAAAGGGTGCCCTTGTTGGCATAAAGGGGGTTCTCTAAGGGAACCTAAACCTTAACAAAAACGAAGTGAGGGCCTACCCTAAACCCTAATCTGGGTCCTAGACCCTAAGGTTGAAGCCAATGCAAGCCCAACTCCATACCAAGATGCCAGCAGAGGGAAGATGGCGATCGGCAGCTCCGTGCAGATGGAATCTAAGCCTCCCACAGGCGGCAGAAGGACAGAAATCCTTAACCCCAAAACCCCCTAGACACCTCAAACCCTAAACACCTGAACCCTAAACCCGTGAACCTTAGACCTAAAACCCTAAACCCCTGAACCCCTAAACCCTAAACCCTAAACCCTAAACCCCTGAACCCTAAACCTCTTGTTAGCCCCAAAGCGCCGAGTTGGAACTCTATACCCCAAGTTCTCGAAAGCCTAAAAAAGCTCTGGAAGCCAGAAACCCCTCATCAGACCCTATAAACCCCCGAAGCCCTAAAACCCTAAACCCTGAACCCTAAATCCGAAGACCTAAAATCCTGAACCCTAAACCCAATGAGCCCTTCAAACCCTCTGAGCTGGGAATATAGAAGGGCGCCTTGCGTGTTCATGCATATCGCACTCGCGGTTTGTAAGGGACCCTAAACATTGAAACATGGGGGAAGAAGGGCACAGGCTTTAGGCATCCTTGGGGGTGGGGACCGAAATCATGGACCCATAAACGGAGCCTCCACCTCTCACGGGCGCGCCCTGGTCTTCTCTACAGGACCCAGATCCCGACAACCACCAAGAGATGCGTTCACGGTTTAAGATTTAGGCTTAGGGTACAGTCCTTGGCTGCACTTAGGAGGGTAGCTATGAACGAAATTTTTAGCTGCCTTACTAGGAAACCCAATAAACCCAAAAGGCTAAGGATCTAAAGTTACAGTAAAGCAGCACAAAGAGCCGATGATAACTCGATTTTTGGAGTATGGGGGCGACTTCTTTCGGCGAAAGGCTGTAACAATCCCACCCTGATGGTCGAAGCTGCTGCCCTAAACCCAAGGGGTTTAGGGTTTAGGGTTGAGGGTTTAGGGTTTAGGGTTTGTTCTCAAAGCTTGCTGGCCAGGAGCAGCCCACCATGGATACCAAGAGCCAGTTTGGGGCAATCAGCAAGTAGCCAGCAAATGGGATTAGAGCGAAACCTCGGCGTAGGACTGCGCTTACGGCTTCGGCTTCATCCTGCAACAAAACTCTAAACCCTGAACAATTTTTAAACCCCATAAACCCTATAAACCCTTTAGACCCTATAAGCCCTATAAATCCTATAAACACTATGAACCCTAGAACCCCAAAAGCCCTAAACACCCTACAATCCCTACTGACCCTAGCGTAACCCTAAATCCTAAACCATCAAGCCTACACCCTTCAACCGTCCAAGCCCTAAGCGCGTGATAGGAAGTGACATTCCCAGCCTTTCAGAGTCGTAGGGTTTAGGGTTTAGGATTAGAGTTTAGGGTTTAAGGTTTAGGGTTTAGGGCTAGGGTTTAGGATGTAAGGTTTAGGGTTTAGGGAGGGTGGGGCTCACAGACATGGGTACTCATGTTGCGGTCTTGAGCTGCGTCGTGGGTAGGTATTCGAGCATGGCCCATAAACCCTAAACCCTAAACCCTAAACCCTAAACCCTAAACCCTAAACCCTAAACCCTTGTCTAGGAGTTAGGATTTTAGGGCTTAGGGCTTGCCCTCCAAACAGCGAATGCTAAAGGGCATCCGGGGCAAACCTCCAGCACGTCCCCAAACATCGCCACCCCAAAGCCCAGGTAGCCCTGGAGGTAAAGTTTAGGGTTTAGGGTTTAGGGTTTAGGGTTTAGGGTTTAGGGTTTAGGGTTTAGGGTTTAGGGTTAGGGTTTAGGGTTTAGGGTTGTAGGGTCCCTGAACCGAGTGGCACATGACATAGAAGCTGATGGCTGCATTCTGCGGGTCGTAGAAGTCGCGGAGATCAGTCACCTGAGGTGCAAACCCCTGCATTCCTGGATTTGTTTAGGGTTTAGGGTTTAGGGTTTAGGGTTTAGGGTTTAGGGTTTAGGGTTTAGGGTTTAGGAAGGCTTAAGTTTCGGAGCCCGCTGCATTCCCCCACAGCGCCACATCCACGCCAGTGGGTTATGGGTTACTGCTGCTCAACGCTTGAACCGCCGACGACTTCTCACAAGAAAGGACCGTTGTCCCAAGCCAGGGCACCAGCAATATGTATGTAAAAGGAACCCTATATACACTCACCAATAACAGCAATCTAAGCCCTACTTCATATGAACATGAAGACCTAAAACCTATAAACCCTTAAGGTTTAGGGTTTTGGGTTTTAGGGTTTAAAGTTTAGGGTTTAGGGTTTAGGGTTTAGGGCTTTAAGCACCTGGTAGCTTTGGCTTTGGCTTGGATCTCACGATGTTGTGTGGATCGGTCCGGGGGGGGGGGGGGGGGGGGGGGGGTTTGGGGCTTAGGGTTTGCGGCACTTAGGGTTTAGGGCTCAAACCTGAACCCCAAACCTGCGACCCTAAACCCTAAACCCTAAAGACTAAAGACCCTACAGCTCTAAAAGCACCCACCGAACTCTAAAACCCGAAGACCCCAAACCCCGAAGCGCTCGACTCTAGAGGCTCCCTACAACCCACACACCTGTCCGCCTGAGTCTCAGACTAATCCAACATGCCCCAAACCTCTACCCCTTAACCTATAAAGAGAGAATATAAGGAAGGGCTCTACCACGCCCCTTAATTTCTTTAAAGGGGTAGGCCCATGGGGTATGTTGAAGGTTTCTTAGACTAAGGCCAACAGCTGAATGCTACACACTCCAACCCCCTCGAGGCCATTGCATTCCGGAGTTTAAGAGATGCCCCGAGGGTTTCAAAGGCTTTGCGGCTTGGGGGGGGCGGTTAGGGGTCAGGGTTTATAGGGTTTCTATAGGGTTTCGGGTTAAGTGTTTAGGGTGTAGTGATTTGTCCAGCTTGCAGCTAAGCAAGACAAACCTTGCGCCCCCAGCGTCCCGACCTCGCCTCAGACTCAGGTTGGTCTGTCAAGCCATCCAACTCGAAGATCTCTCGCGTGATATTCCTGGAACACTTCTTATCCCAATTATAACTGTACTTATATACCCCCAAGTCCTCTAAGTAGGTTGTAGGTAGATTCATAGTTGGGGTTATAAACCCTCAACCCTCAACCCTCAACCCTAAACCCTACAAGTACCCTGAACCTCTGGGGGTCCCGCATTGCGGGGGAAGGGTATGTATGCATCGAAGGCCTCTGAGGTTCTTGCAGCTTGGGGTTTAGGGTTTAGGGTTTAGCGTTTAGGGTTTAGGGGTTAGCGTAGCATCTGAGGGGGGAAGCGAGAGGGGGGGCGGAGGGGGCGGGGTACATAGCAGTTTTTGCTCCACTAGTGCTCCCTTGCTTTGTGCAGGTCTGTTCTCCTTACCTTGACTGCTACTTTGAGAGGGGGAGGTGGGGGAGAGGGGGGTTTAAGGTTAAAACCCTAAGCCCTATGCACCCTACATCCTAAGGTGAAGGGTCAGACTAGGAGATTCCAGCATCTGATTTTCAGCCCTCCGAACATGTTCCTAGACCTCCGCCGTCCGAAAACCCACTAACCCTAAACCCTAAACCCTAAACCCTAAGCCTCAAACATACCCTAAACCCTAGAACTCAGACCATGGAGCTGCAAGTCCAAGATCACCCAAGACCCTAAAGCCTAGACTGCCTAAACCCTCAAGCACCAAAGCTACCTGAAGGTTCATGGGTACTTATAACCCCCAATTCGAAGTCTACCTATAACCTACTTGGGGGGGCGGGGGGGGGGGACTTTAGGGGCCTTACACAGATATCATTGGGGTAAAAAGTACCCATGAACCTCCAAGGATAAGCGCCCCCCTAAACCCTAAACCCCAAAATCTGAACCCTAAACCCTAAACCCTAAACCCCAAACCCCAAGCCCTGAACCCTAAACCCGAAACCCCAAACCCTAAACCCTAAACCCGAAACCCCACTCCCCACTCCCCACTCCAAGTCTCTGCCAATGCCCTCCCTCACTCTCCAGGGACAGCTGGAGGAACGAAACCTGGGTGTAGGGTTTAGGGTTTGGGGTTTAGGGTTAGGGCCCCTGCAACCCTGAACGTTCAGGGTCTTAGGCTTCGGGTTTGAAACTAATAAAGCCAAACACGCCTTCTCAAATCCTACACACCCTACAATTTATACACCCACAGCCTAACAAACCTACATGATGGTTTCCGACTTAGAGTAAACTTTTTGAGGCTCCAATAATATGGCTTAGAGTTTGATTTTGGGAGGGGGGGGGGGGAAGAGGGGTACCCCTAACTTCGGGAGAAAACAAAAACCTAAACTTGAAACCCTAAACCCTAAGCGCCCTAAGCCCACACCGACCATAGACCCCACATCACATCCCTGTGAGCCAAGTCCTTCAAAGCCTGCCGGGGGTGGGTGGGTGGGTGAGTGGGTGGTTAAAGGATTGTAAGGTGGAAGGTCCAGATTTGGTTTCGGGTTTAGGGTTTAAGCTTTAGCGTTTCGGGTTTAGGGTTTGGGGTTTAGGGTTTAGGGTTTTGGGTTTAGGGTTTGGGGTTTAGGTTTAGGGCTTAGGGCTTCGGGTTTAGAACGCCTGGGGGGCGTGGCGTACTTGGGGGTGCCGGCCTCCTCCACTGGCAGCGTCTCTTGCCAAGAAAGATCCTTATCTGAGGGCTTCCGAAAAAGGGGGGGGGTTTAGGGTTTAGGATCTTAGGGTTTAGGGGTTTAGGGGTTTAGGGGTTTAGGGGTTAGGGTTTTGGGTTTAGGGGTTTAGAGGTTTAGGGTTGTTGGCGTTCCTCGGGTTTGCAAAACGAATGGGGGTTGTAGTGCCGCTTTGGCGTTCCTAGGGTTTCCGAAAAAGGGGTTGCATTTCTTTTTGGTGTTCCTAGAGCAAGGATTCTGGAATTTGGGGTGGACGTTTTGAGGGGTACGATTGTCAAGGTGATTGGAATGCAATTCCCCTGAGGTCATTGGACTGTCAGTCCCCAGAAAAAACCAGGAATTAGGGTTTTTGAGTTTGGCTATCAGGTGATACAAGCAGTGGACTGTGGCGTTGAGAGCGACGGTCAAAACGAGGAAGGTGGCGCGAGAACTACAAAAACAAAACAAACAACCCTTGTGCGCTTAAGCCCTTGTATCCATAATATAAGGCCCCAAGACCTCGTAGTTAGGATTCAGGGTGATAGGGCTTAGGGGAATGAAGGACCCATGCTTCTGCCCAGGGGTTCAGGGTTTTGGAGGATGAAGGACCCATTCCTTGGCTGCACTTAGGAGAGTAGCTAAAAAATAAATTTTTAGCTGGCTTCTTAAGAAACCCAATAAACCCCAACAAAGGCTAAGGATCTAAAGTTACAGCAAAGCACCACAAAGCATTCATTCTGTCCAGGAGGCCGTCGCCACGGAACATTGCGCCAGAACGAAGAGCGAGAGCGGCCAGGGGCATGAGCGAAGTGAGAACATCGGAGGCTTCAACCGGCGCGCTTGGGGCACCGACTTAGGGGGGGAACTCGTGGTTCGAAGAAGGGCGATGTCTCTCGCATCAAGGGCCAGAAAATCTGAGAAACCCCAAGCCCTAGAGTTTAAAAACTCTACTAAGCTCTGAGGCTCTGAGCCTAAGTCTTGGACTTCCCCAGCTACCAGAGAAGCCTCCCGAAGGTCGTTTGCAGGTTCGGTATCTATGTAGGACTTGGACCAGAGGCGCGCCGTGCTTCAGGGTTTCACGCCTTTTGGGGTTTGGGTTTAGGGTTTAGGGTTGCGGGCTTAAGGGTCGTCAAGCAGGGCTTAGGTTCACGGCTAGACAGGGGAACCCTCACCAGAATTGGTACCTGCTTCTTGGGACAGGTATCTCGAACCAGTACCCAGTACCCTGCCTGTCCTCTGGACCGCGACCCGAAGGAATCAAGAAAGCCCAAAGTTTCTGGTTTACAGCTTGGGCTTAGGACTTACGGACGAAGCTTGCAAGTCTGTCGACGCCTGCAGTTGAAGGGAGTTCTCAGCTTTGAACATGACAGCTTTAGATTTAGGGTTTTTCGGTCTGGGCGCAACTTTGCTGTGTTGCCAAGCTTGGGGTTTGGAGCCCGGAGTTCCTATAAACCATTACTAACCTTGCAACACCTTTAAAGCCCAAATATGACCAAAAACCCTAAACCCTAAACCCTATACACCCTAAGCCCTAATCCCTAGATCCTAAACCCTAAGCCCTACAACCTAAACCCGAAACCCCTAAACCCTCAGCCCTAAAACCTAAACCCTAAAAACCCTAAACCCTAAACCCCCCAACTCCTTAAAGCCTCTAAAGGCCTCCACCAAGTCCCCGGAGTTTCAGCGGCCATTTTTGCCTCCACGTAGCGCCGCCGCCTGCCCTGCGCTCACCGGTCCAGTGGAGCCTCTGCCACAAGGGTCAGGGGATTTTGGGGTGTAGGGTTTAGGGTTTAGGGTTTAGGGATTTTGGGGTGTAGGGTTTAGGGTTGAGGGTTTAGGGTTGAGGGTGTAGGGTTTCGAGTGGACGGTCTCGTGGGATGCTTCGGGACTTTTTAAAGGCTTTTTTAGGGTAACTAAGGTTTTGAGGATGGTTTAACAAAGAATATCCTACACTCTAAACCGAAATCCCCCTTATAAACCCCAAACCTTCAACCCTAAGGCCCTAAACCCCAAACCCTAACCCCGAAACCCTGAACCCTCAACCCTAAACGCTAAACGCTAAACCTCAAACCCCCTAAACCCCCTAAACCCCCCAAACCCCCTAAACCCCCTAAACCCCCTAAATCCTATGAAAACCCAGAGGAGGAGCCTGGCAACCACCTCGAAACGCGCCAAGTGCGGCTGCATATCGTAGGGGCGGAGTTGCCTCAGAACGTAGGGGTTTCGGGTTTAGGGGTTACGGGTTCAGGGTTGGGGTTTAGCGTCTAGGGTCTAGGGTCTAGGGTTTAGGGTTTAGGGTTTAGGGTTTGGGGTTTAGGGTTTTGGGGTTTAGGGTTTGGGGTTTGGGGTTTGGGGTTTAGGGTTTATGGGTTATGGGTTTAGGGTTTAGGGCTTAGGGTTTAGGGTTTGGGGTTTGGGGTTTGGGGTTTAGGGTTAGGGCTGAGGGTTTAGGGAGATTAGGGTGGGGAGTGGGCTTGGGCGGTTGTAAGGACAGGTCAGTCAGGGGTTCAGGCGTTCCCCCAAACCCCAAACCCCAAACTCCAAACCCCAAACCCCAAACCCTAACCCTAAACCCGAAGGTGCTTGGGGCTGAATGGGTTCCATCTCGCGTGTGACTGAACATAGCTCTCCATGAAAACTGCTCGGGATTCTGATGCATAAGCCCGCCTGGGCAGGCCGAGAGGCAAGGCTGAATCTGCCAGATGCCTGGGACGGTGGCCTCGGCGTGGCCGACACCGTCTTGGCCAGCAGGGTCCTTGTAGTTGCGAATGCCTGCGCGGCGCGCCCCACTGGCTGCGCCACTGGTAGGCAGGCCCACTTCGTGGGCACCATCCAGAACCTGTACTGGTACTGCGACCATCTTGTATGCGGGGTGCCGAAAAACGCCGCCCGGGGCCCACGACAGAACCAGCTGTGGCGGGCAAGTGGCCACTCCGCTTCCAGCTTCTGTCGGTTTAGGGTTTAGGGTTTAGGGTTTAGGGTTTAGGGTTTAGGGTTTAGGGTTTAGGGTTTAGGGTTTAGGGTTTAGGGTTTAGGGTTTAGGGTTTAGGGTTTAGGGTTTAGGGTTTAGGGTTTAGGGTTTAGTTTACGGTTTGGGGCTTGGGCTTAGGGTTTAGGGTGTGGGGTTTTGGGGTTGGAGCTACCACTGCTCCAAAATCTTCGTGGTATGCATCCAGCCAGTGGAGAAGGTTAGCGGGGTGGGTTCAGGGTTTGCCGTTCAGGATTTAGAGTGAGGGCGAAGGCTCCCCTAACCCTAAACCCGAAAACCCTAAACCCCAAACCCTAAACCGTTGGAGTAGAGGGGTTTGGGGTGTAGGGTTGAGAGCTGGGCGATTATGAGGGGATCAGGTTCAGGGGATTGGGGCGACTGCCTCGTAGCCCACAACAAGCGGACAGCAAGGGGGGGGGGGGGGGGGGGGGGGGGGGGGGGGGGGGGGGGGGGGGGGGGGGGGGGGGGGGGGGGGCTAGGGTTTAAGGTTTAGGGTTTAGTGTTTAGGGTTTGGGGTTTGGGGTTTAGGGTCTTAGGGTTTAGGGTTGAGGTTTTAGGGTTCCGGGTTTGGGGTTTAGGGGCTCGGGTAGTATGATTGGGGATTAGGGGTTCGGGTATGTGCGAAGGTGGGGTTTAGGGTTTAGGGCTTGAGCCATAAGCTCTCCGTCGCTGAGCCCCCTCCCTCAACTAACAGTACTGGGACCATGGGCTGAAAAAACCATAAGCCCCAAATGAACTCCATGAGCCCTGTAACCCTGCAAGCCCTCGCCCAAAACACCGTAAGTCCTACACTACAAGAAGCTTGCAAACCCTGTGAAAACCCTACAAGCCCAAGCCCTGTAACAACCCATGAAACCAGCATAACACCTTTGACTTATCAGCAATACTCTGCTACAACCCAGAACAGAAAGCTTTCAAACCGCTGCAAGTAGAAGCCCTAAACCCCGAAAAGCCCCATGCAGATCCAGAAAAAACTCCAAACCTAAACCCTAAATCCTCAACCCTAAACCCTAAACCCCAAACCAAGAAGCCCTCAACCCTAAATCCCAAACCAAGAAGCCCTCAACCCTAAATCCCAAACCAAGAAGCCCCCAACCGTAAACCCTAAACCCTAAACCCTAAACCCCTAACCCTAAACCCCTAACCCTAAACCCTAAACCCTAAACCGTACGAAGCCCAGGAGGCCTCAGCTGATAGCCCCGCTTCGCAAGCAGGGCGACGTCGCGGAGCAGGCCGCGCCCATTGCCGACCTCGAGGCGCTTCGGAGGTTTAGGGTTTAGGGTTTAGGGTTTAGGGTTTAGGGTTTGAGGTTTAGGGTTTAGGGTTTAGGGTTTAGGGTTTGGGAGTTTTATAGGGGTTTGGGAGTTTGGGAGTTTGGGGGTTGGGGAGTTTGGCGGGGTTTATAGGGTTTTAGGGTTTATAGGGCTTCTAGGGTTTGTAGGGTTTGTAGGGTTTACAGGGTTTATAGGGTTTACAGGGTTTATAGGGTTTATAGGGTTTTCGGGGCTTTGGCAGAGTTGGGGCTTGGGACTTCTGGGTCCGTCTTGAAAGCTCACGAGGGTTTGAGTGCTCTCTTGCTGGTTTAGCGCCCCAAGTTACAGAGGCCGCCTTTCCCAAAGAGCCCAATATTGCTTAATTCAGGAATATTCCTTAAATCATATTAAGGACCCCTATATGATTTCAGGTATATTGCTTAATTAAGCAATATTGGGCTCTTTGGGTTTTTCTCACGACGCCACCGCACGAGACCTTCAGCATGGCGAACGACTAGGAAGCCCTGAGCCCAACTCAAAAGACATGCAGGGTTTCGGGATTTGAGGGAGTTGAGGGTTTAGAGGGTTTAAGGTTTTAGGGTCTATAGGGTTGATAGGGCTAGGAAGGTATAGGGCTTGGGTTATAGGGTTTAAAGGGTTTAAGGTGGGGTTTGGGTTCATGGGCTTTATTGGGCTTCCAGGGTCTATGGGGCTTGTAGGGCTTGATACTCTGAAAAAGGGGCCAAGGCGCGTAGACCAGCGTCGGCGCGCGCAGGTCCAGCGCAAATCTGCGAAAGGGCTTGGGAAGGCCATTGCGGCCCGGGTCCTGCCAGGAGTCCCTAAACCCTAAACCCTAAACCCTAAACCCTAAAAACCCTCAACCCTCAACCCTCAACCCTAAACCCTAAGCTCAAAACCCAAAACCCTAAACCCTAAGCCCTAAGCCCTAAGCCCTAAACCCTAAGCCCTAAGCCCTAAACCCTAAGCCTTATCTCCAGCTTTTAGGGTTCACAGGGTTCTACTGGTTCATGGTTGGGATAGTATTAAAAATTTACATTTATATTCCTTATTGGGTTTTAAGTACCCTTTAAAATGTAAAATGTTACCCAACTATGACAAAGTCTAGGGGATCCATAGGCCTTAGGGCTGTCTTGAAGTTTTCAGGGGCTCAGGCCTTGAAGGGGTTCAGGGATTCAAGGGCTTTAGGGTTTAGGGTTTAGGGTTTAGGGTTTAGGACTTGAACGCAGAGGCACTTACAAAGAAACCTGAGGGGACAAGCACTTTCCGCCTGTTTCAGTGAGGTGTGTCTGTGCCAGGTGCTGACCAGTGGCTAAGGCGCAGGGTCGTTTGGGTCCAGGTTTGGGGCGTTCGAGACGGCGGAGCCGAAACAACAAAATGTTGACAAAATCCGAGCGAGCGACTACGACAAGCACGTCTGGCACGGGCAGAGAGGCGGGCACAGCGTCTCCAAACGGCATGGAGTCGCCTGCGTGGGCTGCGTTTCCAGGCTTGGGGGAGCTTCAGAAGGGTCGAAACCAGGGGTTTCGGGATTCCTGGATTTGGGTTTAGAGTGGGAGCAACAGGCTTCGGGTTTAGGGCTTTCCTCTTTGGGTCAACAGCGCTTAGGGTTTGGGCGAGAGTGCGGGGCTCAGCTCGGAGGATTTACAGGAGTGCTGACACACTCCTCCCCGATCTTTTGGGGTACTGATCTCCCCACTACAGAGTAAGGATGTTCTGACGCCCTGATTTGCAGCAACTGCAACACTGAATCCTGTGCGCGCCTGAATGCTTACGGCTCAGTGAAGGGTCGTGTTTTGCGGAAGGGGCATTTGGAGTTTAGCGAGTTAGGTCGTTGGCACTTTGTTTCCGTAATTAGGATACCAGCCTGAATTCAACCTATGCAGCTACTAGTACTACCCCAATCTGCTCCGTACTAGTTCTTTAGGGAATGAGTTGCCGTTATATCTCCTATGTTACCCTGCTAAGGGTTATATAGAGCATCAGCTTCCTGAATTCCTTATTAGGAACTACTCGTCCCTGCCTTCGTCCATGTCCTCCTCCTCCTCGTCCTCCTGTGCCGGCAGCAAACAATTCTTGCTATTGAAATCCCCTTTTACGCTAGGATGGCCCGTAAACATCCCTTAACTTTCCTAAATCGAAAAATACTCGTAAACCCAAACACGGGAAGATGTAAAAATAATCTGGCCCTGAGCCCTCGAAGCCTAAAACCCTCCAAACCCTCTAATCCTGATCCTAATCCATAGAAGCCCCAAAACCCTACACCAAGGGATAGGACTCGAATGAAACCCTATCAAGGGTTTAGGAGTTGAGGGCTTAGGGTTTGGGGTTTAGGGTTTAGGGTTTCGTTCTGTGTAAGGGCTTCAAAGGCAATGTCTCGGGGTGTAGGGTTGAGAGTCTGTGCCTTGAATCTGAATCTGCTTAGGGTTTAGGGTAGGCTGTCCAAAACCTGGGAATGAAATTCTGTTTCGGGTGAACATACTCGATTTCTTGTTGCGTGTGGGTTCGGGGCTGGTTCCAGTGTTCAGAGAGTGCGGACCCCTCGACATGCCTTTTCCAGCATGGTTTAGGGTTTAGGGTTTAGGGTTTAGGGTTTAGGGTTTAGGGTTTAGGGTTTAGGGCATAGGGCATAGGGCGAACACAGCAGCGTCGTGGTCTTTTGGGCAATCCGCCCGGTTTCCCCAGGATGGCCCTTAAAACTCTCTGAAAACAACACAACCCTCTTAATCCTCCTAAACCCATAAGGGAAATATGCAAATTGTCCCAAGGGGCTACCTAGTCGCTCAGAACTACAGCCCGCGTCAGAAATGCAAGCATCGCGATGGAGTTCAGTCGGACTGCCGCCAATGTTGATGGCGCTGAACCCTAAACCCTGAACCCTGATCTCTAAACCCTGAACCCTAAACCCTAAACCCTAAACCCTAAACCCAAACCCTAAACCCCAAACCCTCAACCCTAAACCTAAGGATACAACCTGGCATTGGTGCATGTGGTGTCGCTCAACACTCGGCCAAGGTCCTTGGTAACCCTACTTATCCCCCACCCGCCGCAAAAACATACGAAAAAACAAAAAGACACACCATCCCAAGCCGTAAACCCTATAGCTCCCACACCCTGAACCCGGAACCCTAAACCCTAAGCCCTGAGTCCTAAACCCTAAACCCTAAACCCTAAACCCTAAACCCTAAACCCTAAACCCCTAAACCCCTAAACCCCTAAACCCCTAAACCCCTAAACCCCTAAACCCTAAACCCTCGCCTCGCTCAGCTCATCCTCATCCTCGGCCGCCTCTGGGGGCATCTTGGTCCTGCTCCAGGGCTGGGAGAGGGGGGGGGGGGGGGGGTTTAGGGTTTAGGGTTTAGGGTTTAGGGTTTAGGGTTTAGGGTTTAGGGTTTCGGGTTTAGGGTTTAGGGTTTAGGGTTTAGGGTTTAGGGTTTAGGGTTTAGGGTTTAGGGTTTGGGGTTTGGGGTTTGGGGTGTGGGGTGTGGGGTTTAGATTTAGGGTTTCGGGTTTGGCGTTTGGGGTTTGCAGTTTGGGGTTTAGCGTTTGGGGTTTAGCTTTTAGGCTAGCTACGTTTCTATGCGCATCTTGTGCTTTTTATGTTGGCAGGTTCCCCTAAAACAGCAATCCTTAATAGGGATTCTAGTACCCCCCCCTTTTCATCCCTATTAAGGACTGTTAGTATGAGGGGGAGCATCCCAAAGTTTATGTTTTCAGGGATGACGGTTCAGGGCTTAGGCTGTTTTTGTCTCATTGTTTGTCTTTTGTAGGGCTTTCGTAGGGCTTAGGGTTCTGCTGATTCTAGCGGGCTCTGGGGTTCGCAGGGTTTAAAGGGTTTAGCGGGGTTCACCGGCAGGCTTGAGGCTCTTGTAGACATGCCCGGCACGGTCTTAGGATGAAGGGCTTAGGGCTTGTAAGGGTTAAGGGTTAAGGGTTAAGGGTTTAGGGTTTAGGGTTTAGGGTTTAGGGTTTAGGGCAGAAGTTTGGGGGTTTGGGGGGTTACGATGTTAAAAAGGGGTTCCGGTTGCTTTAGGGGTTTTGTGGTTGAAGTTAACCCTGAACCCTAGGATACTTTGCAAAGGCCTGCGTCTTCTGCGCTTCACCCTAAACCCTAAACCCTAAACCCTAAACCCTAAACCCTAAACCCTAAACCCTAAACCCTAAACCTTAAACCCAAAAAACTCGGGCCAAAGAGGGCACTGCACCGGCTAAGGTGACATTGCTTTTGCCAGATGCCTAGGCCCAAGAGAGACCTAGGAATTACAACGTTTAGGGTTTAGGGTTTAGGGTTTAGGGTTAAGGGTTTAGGGTACCCTTTCTGGGTTGAAGGGGCTGATAAGGGAACCTTAACCCCCCCCTCCCCCAAACAAAGTAATAAGGGCCACAGGGGGGTCCACAGGGGGGGGCGGAAATCATTAGTTACCCGAAAAGGGAAGAACCCTGAAACTCTCTCCCCCTGTCCATTCACCCTCCGCGAAACTTGCTAGGTCGTTCAGAGCCACACAAGAATCGCCAACTAACACAGGTAGAGTCATGGACCCTCGCGCCAAGCAGTACGTAAGCCCCGCAGATCTACAAAGCCCAACAAATGATTCCAAAGCTGTGCCCTCGACCCGAAACCCTAAACCCTAAACCCCAAAACCCCTAAACCCCCAAAACCCCTAAATCCCCAAAACCCAAAACCCAAAACCCAAAACCCTAAACCCTAAACCCTAAACCCTAAGCCATCTCTAAACCCAAGATGTGCCTGGACAGCACCCCCAGCAGCCGGTGGAGGAAGACTGGGATGCCCAAGTCTCCACACCTCGGCGCTTTTTATGGGTTAGTGGGGGGGGGGGGGGGGGCTTTTGAGGTTAGGGTTTAGGGGTTTAGGGTTTAGGGGTTTAGGGGTTTAGAGGTTTCGGGTTTTAGGGGTTTTGGGGGGTTTTAGGGAATTAGGGGTTTAGGGGTTTTAGGGTTTAGGGTTTCGGGCTCAAAGCTCCAAACAGGGTGCCCTTTTGAAGAGATGGTTACTGGGGTAATCTAGGAATAAAAAGGGTGCCCTTTTTGGTTTCCAGAGCCTGATAAGGGAACCTAAAACCCCCCCCCTAAAAAGGGAATAAGGGCCCAGATACTTGCTCCGACTCTGCTTGTCGAAATAGTTGGGAAAAAGTCGTCCTAAGCCCTCCAAACCTGAAAGCATCAAAGCCCTCAGGAACCCAGAGCCCCAACAGCCCTTTGAAAACCCGAGGCCACAAGCTCGCTGCAGTCGGGCCTAGTAGGGTTTAGAGTTCGACCCTAAACCCTAAACCCTAAACCCTATACCCTAAACCCTAAACCCCTAAACCCCTAAATCCTAAACCCTAGACCCCGAACTCTAGAAAGGCCACGAAACCGGCCCCAACCCAAGCAAAGGCCCCAAGGCCCGAGCACGACCTCGGCTTCGAGGCCGCGCTCCGCAAGGTTTGCAAGGAGGGCGTCGAGGGCCTGCAGGAGAGGGCTTGTAGGTAGGGTTTAGGGTTTAGGGTTTAGGGTTTAGGGTTTAGGGTTTAGGGTTTAGGGTTTAGGGTTTAGGGTTTAGGGTTTAGGGTTTAGGGTTTGGGGTATGGGGTATAGGGTATAGGGTTTAGAATTTTGGGTTTTGCGACTGCAGGCTTCATGTGATTATATCGGGAATTGCTGCCACGGCTCATAAGTTGTCTTCGGGCAAGGCTAGAGCAATTTGTAGTGACACTTCCCTGTCAGTTGAAAGCAGATTTTCTCTCAGCGAACAAGAGGGACACAGATACTCTCTCTCTCTCTCTCTTTTGCTCTCTCTCTCTCTCTCTTTCTTTCTTTTTTTCTCTTCTTCTTCTTCTTCTACCCAGCGAAGAGGCCCCCCGAGGAGGCTCTCTCTCGCTCTCTCTCTGTACATTTATATCTCTCCTCATCTCCGATGCCGGGGCCTGTTTTGTTTGCATTTTATTAGTTATTCTCTCTGTCTCAGTCTCTCTCTCCTGCCCACTTCCCTCAACTCTCTCTCTCTCTCTCTCTCTCTCTCTCTCTATATATATACATATGTGCATATATATATATATGGTACCCCCCCCCAGTGACCTACCCTTTTTCGCCTTGTCTCAAGTCACCCAGCTGCACTGCAAGCAAACTCGGTGTGCAAGATAGCGTATTTCCTAGGGCGTAGACTAAAATACAACTAAAATCGCATACACGGGACAGTGGAAAAACCAAAAATACCAAAACCAAAAAACCAAAAAACCAAAACCAAAAAAACCAAAAAAACCAAAACCAAAAAAAACAAAAAAAAACAAAACCAAAAAAACCAAAAAAAAGCAAAACCAAAAAAACCAAAAATACCAAAAAAAACAATTTTCCGGGACTCTCAGGAAATCCCTATGAGGCTTCTCCAAGAGTCCCGGAAAATTGTTTTTTTTGGTATTTTTGTTTTTTTTGGTTTTGTTTTTTTTTGGTTTTTTTGGTTTTGGTATTTTTGGTTTTTTGGTTTTGGTATTTTGGCTTTTTGGTTCGCCTTCACGGTCACGAGGCAACAACTACGCATTTTTAAGTGTGCTTATGCTAATTGTGCTTTTCAGAAATAGTATACAAGTGGTCTTTCTAGTGCTTCAGAACTATTTGTTTCGTTATTATGTAAGTAGAGCCGCTAGTGTTTAGTGCATCTTTTGGTTGTACTCAAGTGTAGTAGACCTTATTCAGCCATTACTTGGTGCTCTGGTAGCTCAATTCGCACGGATAATATTTGCCTGGTAAATGCAATTAATTATCTAGAAGCAGCATTTGCAATACTTGTCTTGAGAAAAAGCATTTATTAAATAGAATTGTTTGCTTAAAAAGTGACTCCTACTCGTCCAGGAATACCCCAAAACCCTATAATCCAAACTTTACCAGAGATTCTCCTGAAAAGCTTGCGCTTTTGGATGTTTTTATGTATTTGTGAATTTGCTTGTGTATGGCCTTCGCTAAGTACTTTTCTAGGATTCTTGTGCATTTTTTAAGCCTGATTGTGCAAGTTGCGTTTTTCAAGCATAGTATATATGTGGTTTTTTTTTGAATACTTCAGACATCTTTGTTTCATCGTTATGTAAGTAGAACCGCTTCTATTTCCATTATTGTGCACTTTTAAGCTTGCTCATGCAAATTGTGCTTTTCAGACATAGTATATAAGTGGTCTTTAGTGAATACTTCAGCAATCTTTGTCTCATTGTTATGTAGGTAGAACCGTTTCCATTTCCGCAAGTGTTTATTTCGTATTTGGTTGAGTATGGTCCTTTAAATAGTATTCACTTGAGTCAAATTGGGCTATTTGCTTAAGAATTCCTCTAGTAGTTAAATTCGCATAGAATGAATACTTCGAAAAAATTGTTTCATGAATATGTAAACATAAGGTGTTTCATTTGACTTTGCAGGTAGTACTTCAATAATACTTTGCCTGGTATAAACACAACTGTTTCAATGCATTAGTTGCTCAACAAAGCACTATTTGCCCTTTAAACCACACTTTGCCATATTTTGGTTGAATATGGTGCTTCTTTCGTATTTTGGTTGAGTATGGTCCTTTAATGGTATTCACTTGAGTCAAATTGGGCTATTTGCTTAATAATTACTCTAGTAGCTAAATTCGCAGAAAATGATTAGTTCAAAAACAAAAACGATTCATGAATATGTAAACATAAGGTACTTCAGTGGACTTTTCAGAAAGCATACTTTGCCTAGTACAAACACAATTGTATAAATACAGTATTTGCACTTTAAACGCACACTTTGCCATTTTTTGGTTGAGAATGGTGTTTATTTCGTATCTTGGTTGAGTGTGCTCCTTTAAATAGTATGCACTTGAGTCAAATTGGGCTCTTTGCTTAATAATTACTCTAGTAGCTAAATTCGCATAGAACCAAGAAAAATGTTTCACTATTTGATTAATACTTTGCCTCGTACAAACACAATTGTAAAAATAAATTAGTTGCTCAACAAAACATTAATTGCCCTTGAAACGCACAATTTGCATAGAAAAACATTGATCTAAACATCTAAAAACAGCATTGCCCGCTTCAGATTCAAAATGTAGATTCTTCCAATGCTGGCTTATCGGGGTCTGTGAGGTGGGTGTCCCAGTAGCTGTCCTTCATTACCCGGTGATTAACTACGCGACTTTTGGGCCTTCTTTGTTATTTTTTGTTAAAAAGGCCTAAAAAGGCCTAAAAAGGGTAGGTCGCTGGGGGGGGGGGGGGGTAGCATATATATTAATATATATATATATATATATATATATTGTCTTATGCGTCTTATGCGTCATGGATGCCGGCCGCAGAACTGGCACCTGCACTCCGTCTCTGTGTCTCACTCTCACTCTCACTCTCTCACTCTCTCACTCTCTCTCACTCTCTCACTCTCTCTCACTCTCTCTCACTCTCTCTCACTCTCTCACTGTCTCTCACTCTCTCTCACTCTCTCACTCTCTCTCACTCTCTCTCACTCTCTCACTCTCTCTCACTCTCTCACTGTCTCTCACTCTCTCTCACTCTCTCACTCTCTCTCACTCTCTCACTGTCTCTCACTCTCTCTCACTCTCTCACTCTCTCTCACTCTCTCACTCTCTCACTCTCTCTCACTCTCTCTCACTCTCTCTCACTCTCTCTCACTCTCTCTCACTCTCTCACTCTCTCTCACTCTCTCTCACTCTCTCACTGTCTCTCACTCTCTCTCACTCTCTCACTCTCTCTCACTCTCTCACTCTCTCACTCTCTCACTCTCTCACTCTCTCTCACTCTCTCACACACTCTCTCTCACACTCTCACACTCTCTCACACACACACTCTCTCTCTCTCTCTCTCCCTCTCTCTCTAGCGCATGTAAAATCTTACAGCAGCCCCTAAACCCTGATCCCTAAACCCAATACCCTATACTCTCTAGGGCATGTACAATCTTGCAGCAGCCCCGACCCCTGAACCCTGATCCCTAAATCCAAAACCCTATACCCCAAACCCTATACCCCAGACTCAGACCCTAAACCCTTAACCCTGATCCCTGAACCCTATACCACAATCCCTAAACCCTAAACCCTGATCCCCAACTCTACACCCCAAAGCATAAACCCTAGACAAGCCCTGATCCCGAATCCCTACACCTTAAGCCCTGATCCCTAATGTAAACTTAAACCCTAAACCCTAAACTGGCCCTAAACCCTAAACCCTAGACCCTAAACCCTAAACCCCTAACTCTACACCCTAAACCCTAAACCCCAAACCCTAAACCCTGAACCCTACACCCCAAACCCTAAACCCTAAACCCTAAACCCTAAACCCTAAACCCTAAACCCTAAACCCTAAACCCTAAACCCTAAACCCACCCTCTCCACGAGGAGGCACCGGCTCGGAGCGGTCCAAGACGACCATCTTGGCGCCGGTTCGCGCCAGGGGCAGAGAAAGGAGCCCTGGAGATGCTGTAGGGTCTGTAGGGTTTAGGGTTTAGGGTTTAGGGTTTAGGGTTTAGGGTTTAGGGTTTAGGGTTTAGGGTTTAGGGTTTAGGGTTTAGGGTTTAGGGTTTAGGGTTAGGTTTAGGGTTTAGGGTTTAGGGTTTAGGGTTTAGGGTTTAGGGTTTAGGGTTTAGGGTTTGGGGTTTGGGGTTTGGGGTTTGGGGTTTGGGGCTTAGGGTTTACGGTTTAGGGCTTGTAGTTGTAGGGTTTGGGGTTTAGGGTTTTTAGGGCTTGGGGTTTAGGGTTTGTAGTTGTAGGATTTGGGGCTTGGGGGTTTGGGGCTAGGGTTGAAAGGGTTCAGCGTTTTCGGGCCTGGGGGCGTTCGGGCTTGTTGGGGTTTATAGGGGCTTATATGGGCTGTCGGTACAACTGTTTTTAGGGTAGTTTCGAGTTTCTAGGGTTTGGCAGGCTCTTGGGGGCGGAAGGACCTCAACCCTAAACCCGAAACCCTGAACCCTAAACCCTAAACCCTAAACCCTAAACCCGAAACCCTGAACCCTAAAACCCCTCTGACCCTTTTTTTGGCAGGTCCGCTGCGTGTACTCGAGCGGCCTCGCGGCACGCTTTGCCGGTCGATTGGCCTGTGAGGCTTCGCCCCTGCTGCCCCTGAAGATGCGGCTGTGGCCTTGAAACGCCTTGGTGTTGGGCTAAACCCTACACCCCAAACCCTAAACCCTAAACCCTAAACCCCAAACCCTAAACCCGAAACCCCAAACCCCAAACCCTAAACCCTAAACCCCAATCAAGGGTGTTGGCCTTCGGCACCTTCGGGCACCTGCCCCGCGGCCAGTTCCCGCCATGCGGAAAAAGCAAAGTCTCTGGAACAACTCCGCGGGCTTAGGGTGTAGGGTTTGGTGTTTAGGGCTTAAGGGGCCTTATCAAGCTTTGGGGATCTCAAGGGCTTTAGGGCCTTTGGGGGCTTTTGCTGTAGGGGCTTAAGTTTTTCGACTTCTGTTGAGGGCTTAGGACGTGGCAAACCAGATGCAAAGCTGCCGCGCACCAGGTGGGGCGGCGAAGAGAGCCCTGAACCCTATACACGCTGTAAGCCCCATTCATAAACCAAGAAAACCCCTATAATCCCCTTTCAACCCCACAAGCCCCAAATATTACAGACCCTATGAATTCCTGTAAACCTATAACACCTATATGCCCCTTTAAGCCCAGTACACGCCGTTTGAAGCCCCTTCTGAACCCTATAAGCATATACGTCCCCATAAACCTAAAACCCCTATATAGACCCTACAATACCTCTTTACCTCCTTCCGGGTTCAGGGTTCAGGGTTCAGGGTGTAGGGTTTAGGGTTTAACCTCTCTTCCGGTTTATGGGGTTCAGAAGGGGTCCCTTTTAAACCCTAAACCCTAAACCCTAAACCCTAAACCCTAAACCCTAAACCCCCTGATCCTACCTAGGACTGAGCCGAAAGCTAGGCTTCAGGGGCTACGAGGAAAGATAACGTGCTTCGCGGGGTTGAAGCTTCGGGGCGGACACCCCAGACCAACCCTAAACCCTAAACCCTAAACCCTAAACCCTAAACCCTAAACCCTAAACCCTAAACCCTAAACCCTAAACCCTACAGAGCGTCAGGCTTAACTTAACTGTCACCCACCCACCGGGGGTTTTACGCGAATAGGGGACCCCTATAGTGTGGACCCCCAAATAGTAGGATCCCCTTATAATAGGAACCCCAAAAAGGTACCCCTATCGTAAACTCCCATCACCCCTAGACCCTATACCCTAAACCCTAAACCCTGAAAGTAGGACCCCAAGACGTACCCCTATCGTAAACTGCCATGACAGAAGATTTACTCAAGACAGGCGCCAGAGATGCCTTGGCCACAGAAGGCATCCCAGACGACGCTCTCCTGAGCTTTGCAAAAGAAGGGGGTTTAGGGTCAGGGTTTAGGGTTTAGGGTTTAGGGTTTAGGGTTTAGGGTTTAGGGTTTAGGGTTTAGGGTTTAGGGTTTAGGGTTTAGGGTTTAGGATTAAGAGCCCCGCACGCCCAGATAGCCCGGCTAAGAATCCATCCTTGTTTCCGGCCTGTCAGGGTTGGCCTTTGAACCTTTTGAACATATTTATATATACCGAGTCCAGAGTCCCTTCTAAACCCAAATAAGGAAATATACAAACGCGCCAAAAGCCTAGCTATGTACCCTTTCTTGCTTCGGTGCTGTAGGCTGTAGGCCTAGAACCCTCAACCCTAAATCCTAAACCCTAAACCCTAAACACTACTGGGGGGGCTTCCAGGTCCTCTCCTCAACCAGGCAGGGGTGTGGGAGCGAGCCTGAGAGGGTTCTGCCGGTAAGATGTGGGGATTGTCAAAGAAACTATGTACAACACTACTCCATAGTTTATGATGATATGATGTGGTAAAATTCTTGTATTCTGACATTCTTAGACTACTTTATGTTGCATTACATTGTTACATGGTACATCTATACTATACATTATTGCATTATTATATTAATGTATTCGTACATTCTTTAACGCGGCTCGAAGAAGGAGCGACTTTGAAAGCACGTCACTGGTCGAACCAAAACCAAGTCCAGGTACAAGCAGCCCAGCCGAAAGGGTTTGGGGTTTCGGGTTTCGGGTTTAGGGTTAGGGTTTCGGTAGTTGAGGCGGCCTCTGTGGTAGACTCTAGTGCTCAGGAAGCTTTTGGACAGCCAGAGACCTCTAAATTCCTCGGACCGCAAACCCAAAACCCAAACAAGCCCAAGAACCTGAAGCCCTTGAGCTTCCCAAACTTTACACCCCAACCCTCAACCCTCAACCCTAGACCCTAAACCCTAAACCCTAAACCCTAAACCCTAAACCCTAAACCCTACATAGACCCTGAACGCCCGTGGGCGGGGAGGCTCGGAGGCGGCACCGGCGAATTCCACCACGGTGCTGGCGAGGTCGGCTGTGAGGAAGATGTTGGGCCTTTTGTGTGGAGAGGGTGGGTTTAGGGTTTAGGGTTTAGGGTTTAGGGTTTAGGGTTTAGGGTTTAGGGTTTAGGGTTTAGGGTTTAGGGTTTAGGGTTTAGGGTTTAGGGTTGTAGGTTTGTAGGGTTTAGGGTTGTAGGGTTTAGGGGTTTAATTGGTTTAACGGTTTAGGATCCTGCCTGCGCAACAACGTAAACCCTCAACCCTATAAACCCTATACAGTAGCGGCTGCGGCTTTCAAGACGAGGTCCTGGTCCCACAGCATGCTCTCTAAACCCCTAAAACCCTGTAACCCTCTGCCCTAAACCCTGAACCTTATAACCCTATAGTCCCTAGTACCCCCCAAAACCCAAAACCCTAACCCCTAAACCCCAAAACCCTAAAACCCTAGAACCCTAGAACCATGAACCCTATTCCTGAAACAGGCTCCTTAGTATAGCTTTGAAGCACAAAGGCTCACAACGGAAAGAAGGGAATGAGATCGGAACCTATGCCAGGCCCAAGAGTCATCAGGGAACAAACAGGGTGCCCTTTTTGGTTTTGAAGGGGCTGATGAGGGAATCTGAACCCTAAAGCAGGAATATGGGTCTGCTCTGGGTCCGGGTGTACGTGTCCATGTGTAAAAAATAGATGAAGAATCTAGAGCCCCCTAGAACCCCTAGAAACGATCTCCGCGAAACACCTATAAGTTGTGTCAACCCTGAGGGTCTAAGTCTAGGGCTTAGGGCTAGGGCCTAAACCCTGAACCCTAGGGCCTAAACCCTAAACCCTAAACCCCAAACCCCAACCCCAAACCCCAAGCCCTAAACCCTAAAACCCGCAATCACCGGGCGATTGGGCCTGAAGAAGGCTTCTGGGACCAGGCGCAGGGCGACACCACCCGAGTCCTGGAGCTAACAAAAAGGGCACCCTCCATGTCGTGATCCATTGGCCTCCTACGAGGGTTTATATAGGGTTTAGGGTTTAGGGTGTAGGGTTTCGGGTTTAGGGTGTAGGGTTTAGGGTTTAGGGTTTAGGGTTTAGGGTCCCAGAAGAGTCTTTAAGTCTTGTACTTGGGGTTCCTGGGGTCCCTGGGCCCTGCTTCCCATCAGTCCACCTCCCCATGCTTGTTTGGAGTCTTGGGTTTAGGGTTTAGGGTTTAGGGTTTTAGGGTTTAGGGTTTAGGGTTTAGGGTTTAGGGTTTAGGGTTTAGGGTTTCGGGTTTCGGGTATTAGGGCTCAGGGTTTAAGGTTTTATGGTTTTTTCTGGGTTCCTGGGTTTTAGGGTTTAGAATTTAGGGCTGCCAAAACCCGGAGAGCCAGCTTCGTAGCCTCACCTCCTTCTGCAATTCCCTGCTGTTTGGTGGTTGTCCCTTTCGTTTGCGACACTTAGGTTTAGGGCTTTATATAGGGCCTTATAGCTAGAAGAAGACACTGAGAACAAATCGGTATAACAAATCCGAAGAAGGAACTGTAAATGGGGCCTTGGCACTGTCAATTTCCCAGTCCTGAAGCAGGTAGGGCCGGCCCGCCAAGACCTTCGACGCTCAACACGCCAGAGACAAAAAGGAGTGGGGTTAGGATTTAGGGTTTAGGGTTTAGGATTTAGGATTTCATTGGTCACGTGCTACACACGGCCCCCACTTAACCGTCGAGTCTTCTGGACGGAACCTAAGCCCCTCAAAACCCTAACCCTAAGGGTCCATGTACCTCATTATTGTTTATATACTTAGGCACGAAATTCCCCCTATCTAGGAGGTACTTTAAGGCCCAAGTATTCCGTATTTAGGTACATGGACCCTGTTTAGGGTAACCCTAAACCATAGAGCCAGAAAATGTTCAACGGCCTGCGCGCGCCTGCGCGCGCCTGCGCGCGCCCGAAGCCTACCCAGCCCCAAACTTGGAGAACAAGGGTGCTCTTGCTGATTTAAAGGGGGGCTGGTTTAGGGGGGCGGGGGGGGGGGGGGGCTTCGGGATTTTGGAGTTTCGGAGTTTAGGGTTTAGGGTTTACATAGGGGTTCGGGTTTAGAGCTTAGACTTAGAGCAATCCGCACTAAACCCTAACACCTGACTCCTAAACCCTAAACCCTAAGAACTAAACCCTGAACCTATAACCCTGAACCCCGAACCCTAAACCCTCAACCCAAAACCTTGAACCCCTTCTGAGGACTATAGGGTTTAGGGTTTAGGGTTTAGGGTTTAGGGTTTAGGGTTTAGGGTTATAAACCCTAAACCCTGAACCCTCAACCCGATAATTCTGAGGGTATCACCTCGTGCCTCTGGTGGCCACGACTGCGCCAACCGGGCCTCTTCAGGCCTGGCACCGGCTCCGGCTAGGGCTCAGGCCCGACACCCCTAAGCCCTTTTAGGGTTTAGGGTTTAGGGTTTAGGGTTTAGGGTTTAGGGTTTAGAACCCCAAACCCTTTAGGCTTTAGGGTTGAGGGTTGTGGGGCTTAGGCTTGATAGGGTTCGAGACTGGTGGTGGGGGGGGGGGGGGGGGGGCTGAACAACTCTCTCAGGGTTTAGAGTTTAGAGCTAAGGGTGTTTTGTTTTGGGCTTATAAGGTTTAGGGTTTATGACTTATTTTGTGTATACTGCGGCCCTCATCCTACGATGTTTTCTTATAGAGGTTTGTGGTTCTTAGGACAGCAGTAGGGTTTAGGGGTAATAGTGTTCAGGGTGTAGGGTTTAGGGTTTAGGCTCTGAAATCCGAAGCCCTCGCCCCGAAACGCGAAAGAGCCTATAAACCCTCAACAGTGTAAAACAGCAAGCACATAAAGATGATTCCTGCCTTGAGGAATACGTAGGGCAGCCCCTATGTTCGGAAATGTCTATCTGACAGAGACAGTTAGCTTGAATTCACGGGCAAACTCTGCCAGCAGCGACGGACCCTATAAACCCTAAACCTTGGGATGTTCCCCCTTATTATACAAACAGTCCTGAAAAGGAATTATAGTCGGGAGTACTAGAATCCCTGTTAGGAACTGCTAGTATAAGAGGGAACCTCCCAACCTTACACCACCAGAAGCCTGAACCCCTATGCGCCCGTAAAAGCATCCACAACGACGGCCGCTACACCCTTTTCTGAAGTCACATAGGTGAAACCACGCTCATCCGAAACCCTAAGCCCTATAAGCCCTATTAACCCCACAAATCCAAAAAGATAAAGCCTATAAAGCCTATAAACCCTATAAACCCTACAAACAAGCCCCATAAACCCTATACACCCATAAAAGCCTATATACCCTAGCCCTATAACCCTATGAACCCTATATACCCTATGAAACCTACTTAACCTATATACTCCACATACCCTATAAAGCCTATGAACCCTATATACTCTAAACTAAACCCTACAAACATGAAACTCTAATAACCAAAACCCTAGACCCTAGACCCTAAACCCTAAAACCTGAACACTAAACCCTAAACGCTAAACCCTAAACCCTAGTTAAACCCTAAACCCTAAACCCTAAACCCTCATCTGGCAGGGTGAAGCACAAGATTCACGGGCCTTCGCCCCCTTCCTGCGACCACCTCGGCTCCGCAGGTTCGCGGTTTAGGGTTTAGGGTTTAGGGCTTAGGGCTTAGTTAGCATCTTTGAAAATACATCATAAAAAGAAAACCCGAAAATGGCTCGGCATTTCTCAAAGTAGGGGTGCGGCTAATAACACATGCTCCGCAAATACTAGTATGATCCGTGAAAGCCATACTCTTAAACCATAAAACCCTAAAGCCTAAGCCCCCAAAACTCTACACCTCTCGGCCCTGTGCCTCCACATGCTAAAATTAAACCAAAACTGTGCCTCAACCTGTACGACGGCACCCTAAAATTAACCAAAGACCCGAAACCCTCAACCCTGGACCCTAGATCTTGAACCATGACTTCTGAACCCTGTGCCCTAAACCCTGAATCCTAAAGCCTCGGCCAGAAATGCCAAACCCTGCGCCCAAAACCCTAAACCCTAAACCCTAGACCCTAAATTGCTAAGACCTGGAACCCCACCTACTCGGCCCTTTGCGAAGAAGTGATGTAGGCTACAGAGCCGTTGAAACCCACAATTTTGCAATTCCCCAAACACCCACGTTCAAGGTGCGTAGGCTTTGGGGCCCCCCTAAACCCTAAACCCTACACTATAAACCCTACACCCTAAACCCTGAACCCTAAACCCTAAACCTTGAACCCTAAACCCTAAAACCTAAACCCTAAACCCGTCTGGGTTCCCAAAAAGTGTTCGAGGGGCGTGACGCCGGCCAGCGCCGGGCATCGGGCTACCGCTTCTTTGGCTGCGCCTGGCACAGAAGCTTTGAGGGCGCAGACACCCCAGCTACACAAAACCACGGAGCCGCGGAGCCCCAAGAAGGTTTAGGGTTTTTAGGGTTTAGGGCTACTAGTTCTGAGGAGGGAGCTCGGGGAATACACCCTGCACCCCTGAGCCCTAGGAGTGGCATAGTGTACGGTTGTGACCAGGGATCCTAAAAATTGGAGCCCGAAACCCTGGGCCCCAGACCCTACACCCGAAACCCCAAACCCTCAACCCTAAACCTTAAACCCCAAACCCCAAACCCGAAACCCGAAACCCCCAAACCCTTCAAAATGGAACAACTGCCATTCTGGGTCAGGAAGGTTCCCAAAGAGCCCAATATTGCTTAATTAAGGAATATTCCTTAAATCATATTAAGGAGGCTCCTGAACTCTGTGTTCCTTAACTTCAAGGCCTTTTGGGGGCCTTTTGGGGTCATGCGGCCAAAGTCTTGAGGGTCCACCATATCTCAGGGAGTTACGCTTCTTTGGTTGGAAGTGCAGGACTGTTGGGCCCTAAGCCCCGACACCACAAACCAAAGTGCCTCGGACCCCTACACCCTAAACCCGAACCCCTAAAACCCAAAACCCAAAACCCGAAACCCGAAACCCTAAACCCTAAACCCTAAACCCTAAACCCTAAACCCTAAACCCTAAACCCTAAACCCTAAACCCAACGCAGGGTGGGAGAGCCTTGAAGAACATCTCGCGGGGCCTGCGACCGACAAATGCGCGTTAAAACCCCCCCGAAATGCTGGGTGCTTGGGAAGCCCCACTAGGTTGCCCGGGGTTTATAAGGGTTTAGGGTTTAGGTTTAGGGTTTAGGGTTTAGGGTTTAGGGTTTAGGGTTTAGGGTTACCTACCAAAAAGGGAACAAGGGTACTACTGGGCATCCTAGCCCATATGGTGGCAGCCTCGACCTGGCAAGCTTCCATGGCTAAGGTCTAGGGGCTCAGGGTTTAGGGTTTAGGGTTTAGGGTAGTTTAGGGTTCAGGGTAAATCCAGGTACGATTTCGCAAATATAAGCTGTTGCTTCTCTCCTGCACTGCATGCGTGGCGCACCCTAAACCCTAAACCCTAAACCCTAAATCCGCAATCCCGGCCTCCGGCAGCGTCACCACGGATGCAAGCAGCTCTGGCTCCACTCCCTGCTAAACGCGTAGAGGGGTTGCAGGGCACTCTTTCAACCCAATCAAGGGGTTCAGGGTTTAGGGGTAAGTTTAGGGTTTAGGGCTTAGGGCTTAGGATGGTTTAGGAGGGTTTCGGATGGTTTAGGGTCGGCCTTGGGGAAGGGTTGTGGGGCTGTTAGGGTTGGCGAGGGGGGGGTGGAGGGGGTTGGAGGGCTTTTGGGGCTCGCGGCATCCATTTCAAAAGCCTCGAGAGATGAGGGGTGTTGGGTTTAGCGTTTAGGTGTGGGCAAGAGGCTTCCCAGTTGGGGTGCAAGGGGTCGTTTTGCGGCTTTGGGGTGTGGGGCTTGGGGTTTGGGGTCTACGTCTAAACCCTGAAGCCTATGACCCTAAACCCTATCACCCTAAACCCCCATTGAGACGATGGGTTTGAGGATTGAAGGTTTTAGGGATTTTGTGCTGCTGGCTACTCAGGGCAAGGATTTGGAAAGCTTGGGGGCTGAGGGGTCTCCATCCTTCAGCCACAAGGGGATGAGGGGTTTAGGGTTTAGGGTTTAGGGTTTAGGGTTTAGGGTTTAGGGTGTAGGTTTAGGGTTAGGGGCTTGGGCCTTAGGCTCTAGGGTCAGGGATCCTAGGGATCCTAGGGCCTAGGGACTATGCTACCCATGAGCCTTCAAATAAGGGAGCTGCAAGTTGAAACAACGGGCCCGTTGTTGGGCTGGACCCTAAACCCTAAACCCTAAACCCTAAACCCTAAACCCTGAACCCTAAACCCTAAACTGCCGTCGTGACCTATTTGCCTCGCCATGATTCAGAAACGGACACACGCCAGCCCATACATGGTTTCTCAAGGCACCTGGGGGAGAGAAAACCCTGTACGGTTTAGGGTTTAGGTGGTTTAGGGGGTTTAGGGGTTTAGGGTTTAGGGGGTTTAGGGGGTTTAGGGGGTTTAGGACCTGAAGCCCCCATGGATGGCCACGGGATTGGCCCAAGCCGAGAACTCTTCTGGCTTCCTCCTCGTGTCTCTCAGAATTAACAGGCACAGTATCGTGGGCCGTTGGGGGGGGGGCTTGGGATTTAGGTTGAGGTTTACCTCTCAAACCCTAAACCCTAAACCCTAAACCCTAAACCCTAAACCCTAAACCCTAAACCCTAAACCCTAAACCCTAAACCCTCATTAAACCCTAAACACTAAACCCTAAACCCTAGGGTTTTTTTTGGCCCCCGGGATTCAAGGCTCCAACGAACCGACTCAGGCCCTGTGCCTGGCGAGGAAGAGCAGATCTCAAGATGATGTTGCAGAGCCACCTTGGCATCTCCCTCTACCCTTAAACCCTAACACCCTACACCCTAAACCCTTAAACCCTAGACCCTAAACCCTAAACCCTAAACCCTAAACCCTAATCCCCCCCTCCCCCTCCCCCACCACCAGCAACTCAGCCTCGTCTGAGGGTTACGAGGGTGGGGGTGTTTTAGGGATTCGTGGTTGGCCCCTTTACACCCTCCGAAGAGTAGATTCCAAAACAGGATGCTCTTAAGCAAAAAGCCAGGGTTTAGGGTTTAGGGTTTAGGGTTTAGGGATTAGGGTTTAGGGTTTAGGACTTAGGGTGCAGGGTTTAGGGTGTTAGGGTGCAGGGCTCAAATACACATATAGCAATATTTCCCAAGACGACCCTCTCGAGCGCGACGGGTGAGCACATAGAACATATCACAAGGGCCTACCCTACGCACACAAGGGCCTACCCTACGCAGGGTTCAGGGTTTAGGCCTTAAATCCTAAACCATCCTCATCCATCCCACACCATCCCAAGCCGCTAACCACTAAACCCCTGTAAGGTTTAGGGTTTAGCGCCAGGGTAACCCAAACCATAAACCCTACACCCTAAACCCTTCTTTTGTAGCGTTGAGGCCCGGTACATGTTGGGGTTTGCACGACGGTTTAGGGTTTAGGGTTTAGGGTTTAGGGTTTGGGGTTTAGGGTTTAGGGTTTAGGGTTTAGGGTTTAGGGTTTAGAGGGTTTTTTTTTTGACAAGGTCAAGGGGCCTTGGGCCTGCCGTCACCTGCGTGAAGCCTAAACCCTCAAGTTGGGGGTATAGGGTTTAGGGCTTTAGGGTTTAGGGTTTAGGGTTAGGGTTTAGGGTTTAGGGTTTAGGGTTTAGGGTTTAGGGTTTAGGGTTTAGGGTTTAGGGTTTAGGGTTGCGGGTTTAGGGTTTAGGGTTTAGGGTTTAGGGTTTAGGGTTTAGGGTTTAGGGTTTAGGGTTTAGGGTTTAGGGTTTAGGGTTTAGGGTTTAGGGTTTAGCGTTTAGGGCTTAGGGTTTAGGGTTTAGGGTTTAGGAACCCCAAGCTTTACCAATCTCACGAGCCTTGACCTGACACGAAACGGTCCAAGTGCCTAAGCCTACACCCTAAACTTCGCAAGACGCAAACCTTTTGGGGGAGTTACATGGTCCCCGGGAACCTTAAACACTCTAAGGGTTTAGGGTTAGGGTTCAGGGTTGCAGTGTAGGCCTTAGGGTTTAGGGAAGTTACACGGTGTCGTAGTATCTGCAAATGGGGACCCTTATATACCCCACCCCGTATATACCCTCCACAACCCAAGGGCCCATACTTCTCAACCCTTTATTAAAGGAGGTAAGGGACCATATAATTAAGGCACCCTTAGAAACCCAGAACGCAGGGAGCTACCAGGGAATTCGGGTTGGGTTTTAGGATAATTAACCCTGATGGTGGGAGTTCAGATTTTCTCATATACCTAAACTCTAAACCCTAAACCCTAAACTCTAAACCCTAAACCCCAAACCCTAAACCCTAAACCCAAAACCCGAAGAACGCAGAACCATCAAAGATGCCGTGGCGCCCGCGCCCCGTGCGCTCGTCGAAGGCAGTGGCCCCAGCTTCGCGCAGGGAGCTTCGCAAGGCGCTGAAGGCATCTTGCCTCAGCTTCGGGGTGCTTGGGGGTTTAGGGTTTAGGGTTTAGGGTTTAGGGGCTGGGGGCTTAGGGTTTAATGTTTCGGGGCTTGAGAGAATGTTCAGGGAGAGTGGTGCTTCGGGTTTTCTTCCTAGTTCTTAGCAGGGAAGCGGGAAGTAGGTATCCCACATATTCCCATAAGGGGCTCTATAGGAAAGGCAGTATCGAATTCGGCAAGTAGGTGCCCTATACAATCCCGGTGCAGGGTTCTCCTACGAAGAACCCAAAACCCTCAAACCCGTAATTATTCCCTGATACTTTCCTACCAAAAGGACTGGTAGCTTCCCTAAATCCTGAATTCTCAACCCAAGATTCTTGGATCAGAGTAGGGTTTAGGGTTTATGGTTAAAGGTACTACTGTGCTAGCTAGTAAGTCGGTCTTGTGCCAGGATCAGACCTAAACCCTAAACCCCAACCCCCATCCCCCCCCCCCCACCGCCCCCAAGGGGTTTAGGGTTTAGGAAGTTTAGGGGTTTAGGGTTTAGGGTTTAGATTTAGGGTTCAGCACCTCAAGCCCAAGCATTCACGCGAGGGAAGCTCGCTACCTGGGTATCGAATATCGACCCACCCACCCCTTTGGTTGCCACAACAGTTAAGGGTTTAGGGTTCAGGGTGTAGGGTTTGAACCCCCAAAACCCAAACCCTAAACCCTAAACCTTAAATAAATCTTAGGCCCTGAACCTTAAAAAGCTTAAATCCAGGACCCCTGGAACCCCCAACCACAAATGTTAAACCCTAACCCCTAAACCCTGGAACCCTATGGCTTGAATCCTAAACCCAAACCCACGAGCCCTAAAAGGGGCTTGAACCCTAAACCAAGCGCCTTTTTTGGGGACCCCGTATATACCCCTCATATACCCTATACAACCCAAGGGCCCAGACTGAAGAACTCTCTACAGAAAGTACGGGGACCATATGGTCAGTTCTCTGAATTACGGTCCCTCTTTGGGGTGCCCTAAATAAGAAAGAGGGGCCGCCGTGTGCTAAGGCTTGCTAAGGACCCTTTTAAACCCTAAGCCCTAAACCGCAGTGACCGCGTGAAGGGACCATGTAACTACCCTCACACCTTCGGGCCCTGAGCCCCAACACCCTGCAGCCCGAAATCCCCCAAAACCCTGAACACCCCTAAACCCCAAACCCTACACCCTAAACCCTAAGCACTAACCCTAAACCCTAAACCCTAAACCCTAAACCCTAAACCCTAAACCCTAAACCCTAAACCCTAAACCCTAACCTTAAACCCCAAACCCTAAACCCTATTCTCCGACCTTGGGCCCCCAGGCGCACTCTCCGGATGGAGGTGGCAGGTGTCGATGGCCAGGGGTATGGGACTCCCCTCCTGGGGTTAAGGGACCTAGGGTTTAGGGGTTTGGGGTTTAGGACCTAGGATTTAGGGATAAGGGTTTAGGCTTCGGGGTTGGGGGTTTAGGGTTTGGGGTTTGGGGGCTTAGGGCTTAGGAGTTCAGGGTGGGGGCTTGGGGTTTAGAGTTTGGGGCTTAGGACTTAGGGCTTGCGTGCCAACGTTATAGTTCGTAGAACCGTTTGATGACAAATACGATGGGAGAACTCATCAGACTTCTGGGCAAAAAGCAGGAGTTTAAGCGAAAGGGATGATGCTGAAGCGCAGTACTTGGAGGTTCAGGGTACTTATTAACCAATTATAGCTGTACTTATAACCCACTTAAGTGCCCGGATATGGTCATAATTGGGTCAAGTACAGTTATCATTGGGTGAAGAAGTACTCTGAGCCTCCAAGTAGGGCCAGAGTGTAGGGGTTCAGCGTAGTGGTGCCAGGGTTTCCTTGTTGGGAGAGACCTTTACTCCCAGCTATGGCGCAACGGGTGCAACAGCCTTTAGGGTTTGGGGTTTGGATAAGATCTGGAGTTTGGGGCCAGGGTTTAGGGTCTGGGGTTTGGGGTTGAGGCATTAGGGTTTAAGCTTTGGGGTCTGGGGCTCAACTTTCTTGGAGAAGCGATTTTCGAAGCCCTACTCTTCCTCAAACCGATATATTCCACGTGAACCCTCAACCCTGACACGCAAAAAAAAATAATGAGACTTGTGGGCAATCAGGCAAACCCGAAACTCTTCAACCTAACAATTGCGTTCTTAACCCTAAACCCTAAACCCTAAACCCTACAGCCCACAAACTTCCAAAAACCATCACCCCCTAAAAAACCGGACAGGCAGCACTCGGGTCAAGCTGCTGGATGCATACCAAACTGCAAGCCATCGCGCAGAAAGGCCCGGAACCTTGAACATCAATGATTGCTTGTAGAAGGGCTTTAAGGGCTGAGGGCCGTTTAGGGTTTACGGTTTAGGGTTTATGGTTTAGGGCTTAGGGTTTAGGGTTTAGGGGCTTCAGATTCAGGAGTTCATTCCCTAAAACCTCCCCAAACGTTGCGTGCTGCCAAGGCGTCACGTGGCCATGCAATCCTGCGGTTTTATATACTGGCTACCCTATCTGGTCCCTTACAGTTAGGGTTTAGGGGGTAGGGATTAGGGTTTAGGGCTTAGGGTTTAGGGTATAATTCGGGTTTAGGGTTTAGGGTTTAGGGTTTAGTATGTAGGGGGTCATGTGGCAGCTGGTTCCCTAATTCCTTCCTTCCCCTACGTGAATTCCCATATAGTACATACCTGGCCCTTACTGGGATTCCTATTCAGCAGCTTTCGCGCGCCCAAGTATACTACATGGAGTCATTAGAGCGAGAGAGGCCCAAACAGGTATGAGTTGGCTGGGGCAGGCCCTAAACCCTAAACGCTAAACCCTAAACCCTAAACGCTAAACCCTAAACCCTAAGCCCTAAACCCTAATCCAGTCTGGTTTCGGGCTTGGGCTTGATAAGATTCAGGGTGCCGATTCCAGTGTCCATGTGAAGAGCAGAGACGGGCTCCCGTCTGCAGACTCCGACCTAAATGCCTTCAACCCTAATTAAATCTTAAACCCTAGACTTTATAATCTTAAACCCTAAAAAACCCTTTAAACCTCTAAAACCTTAAAAACCGTTAAAACCCTTAACGCCCTAAACAAAAAAAGCACATAAACCCCTAAAAACCTAAACCCCAAAAAGCCCTCGAAATCCTGGGGCCTCAGACTCTGTCCGCGCGTGGAAGCCGAACACTTCCGGAGAAGGAACGGGCTCCTCCAGGACGACCTCGCGCGAGCGGGGGATTGAAGGGTTTAGGGTTAAGGGTTTAGGGTTTAGGGTTTAGGGTTTAGGGTTTTAGGGTTTTAGGGTTTAGAGTTTCTCAGACTTGTGCGGCTTCAAGGTTTGCAGGTTCTAAGGTTGAGGGTTTGGGGTTGAGGGACTTTAGGGTTTGGGGTTTATAGCGTTTAAGGGGTTTAGAGCTCAACTATAGGCTTGTACAGGGCTTGTTATAGCCCATGTGGTTTATGGTCCAAAGCCCTAAGACCTCAACGTTTACAACCTTTCATATTGTGAGCCCTGAACCCTCACTCCTATACAGTTTAGGGTCTAGGATTTAGGGTTACTTCCCTAACCCTAAACCCTAAACCCTAAACCCTAAACCCTAAACCCTAAACCCTAAACCCTAAACCCTAACCCTAAACCCTAAACCCTCCCCTGAGCCCTAAACGCTAAACCCTAATCCGACCGCCGACTGCCTCGCACATCGAAGAGGTCAACTTCCGTGTTCGGGGGCTTGCGAAAGCTTAGGGTTTAGGGCTTACAAGGTTTAGGGTTTAGGGTTTAGGGTTTAGGGTTTAGGGTTTAGGGTTTAGGCTTTGCGGTTTAGAGTTTGGGGGGCAAGGTGTAAGGGGGGACCCGTAATTACGGAGATATCCAAGTTGTCTTCCCGCATGTCCGATGCAGAACGTGCTATATATGTTTGCCGGCAGAGGCCGCCACCTACATCAATGTACAGGCGTGGGCAGAGTCAAGCATCCGAACAACTTCCTGATGGCCCTGATATTCTGCTAAGTCCCAGGCGGAATTGCCGTGCACATCGCAGATGTCAACATCTGCTCTTCTTTGCAGCAGCATTCGCACAACTTCCTTGTGTCCATGGTATGATGCCTCGAGCAAAGGCCGATGATCCTTGTCGCCGTCGGGGTGCGCCCTTGCCTGAAGCAGCATTCGCACGATCTCGTCATGGCCCTGTGACGATGGTCCAAAAAGGGCTGTCTGGCCACCTGCTTCATGAACACCATTAGGGTCAGCTCGAGATTTTAACAGCATGTGCGCAGCCACCTCATGGCCTTGCTCTGCTGCCGCGACAAGAGCGATGGAACCGTCCCCTCCGCGGACAGTAGCGGTGTCCGCCCATGCTTCCAGAAGCATGGCGACCACTGAATCGTGACCGAGCTCGGCTGCATCAACGAGAGGGCTTGAAAGGTTTGCATCCGCTTTCGCTGTCAAGAGCAGGTGCGCAATGACATCGCGACCATGCTGCAAGGCCAACGAGAGCACCGACACGTCAGATAAGCAGTCCTGACAGTCGGGGTCAGCCCGGTTCTTCAGCAGCACATGCACAGTCTCTACATCTCCGAGCGCGGTTGCTGCACAGAGGGGGTGCGTCACGCCCAAACCATCAGCCCCCTCATCCCAGTCGGTGTCAGCTCTTGCTTTCAAGAGCATCCGCACGATCTCCGTAAATCCATGGGCAGCTGCTATGGCAAGAGGCGTGGTCAAAGTTCGCAAGTATTCCCCTTGGAGCTGGTCAAGTTTAGCTCTTGCTTTCAACAACGCGGCCACAACCCGCTCATGACCTTGCTCACATGCAACCCACAAGGCAGTTGGTCAGTTCAAGCCAAAGCTGCTGCCAGCGTCAACCCTAGCGTGTAGAAGCAGGTTGACGATCTTGGCATTTCCCAGCTTCGAAGCCCGAAACAAAGCCTCCGTGTAGTCGACATCATCGACATCGTTGGGACTCCCTGAGCCGTTTGCAGAGCGGGCCTCCAGCAGAAGTCGCATGAAATTGGTATCGTTCCTCTCCGACGCAACATGGATACAGGAATCTGGATTTGCGTGGGCCTGTAGCAGACGACGCACAATGTGCATTTGCTGGGCAGCTACCGCCGCTTTAAGAGGTGTGGAGTATGCGCAGACATAGTTCGAGGCACCGCGCATCTCTGTATCAGCCCTGGCTTCAAGCAGTAGCTCCAGAATCTCTGCAAAGCCCCTTTCCGATGCTGTGACAAGAGGACGGCAAGCTGCGCCGGACGCATTTGGATCTTCTGGCCGCTGCAGCAGTCTCTCGACACCTCGGATGTCGTTTATCTCGCAGGCCATCTGCAAGCTGAAGTCCCAACCTTGCATGCACGGCGCAAAAGGCAGCACAACAAGCTGCAGGTCCTTGATCTCGGAGTGCACGACGTCATCATCGTCCAAGGTTTGACTGCCCTCGGTGGGAAGCAGAAAGAGCTTCTGTCTGAACCGCGGCACCCCACATTGGCGCGCTATCTGGCGCTTCAGAGATCGTGCGCTGCACTCATCGGGCTCGGCCGCCAAAGGAACAGCGGCTACCATGGCCCCTGAGGGCCACCAAACATGGATCATCCTTGCAAGCGGTTGCACACGAGGAACCGCTACAAATCTCTCGCTCGGAAGTGAGCTGCGGAAATCAAACAACCTCTCAGGTCCCTTGTGAATCGACTTCGGAGGCTAAAACCCTAACCCCTAAACTACCTTGAACGCTCAACCCAAAACCCTACCAACAAAATTAACTCTGGCAACCGCACAACTTAACGCCCCCAAACCCAAACCGGAGACGCCTCCTGGTGCAGGAGGCCGAATTGTTCCAGCAATAGCTCCAGGAGAAGCATCCTTGTGTCGTCGGAGGGGTCCCGAAACCCCAAACCCTAAACCCCGAACCCGGCATCATGGAGGGCCGGGGGTGGGCGTCCTTATCCCTGGCCTTGGAGGTCAAGAAAATACTTCGGGATATCTCTAACCCGTCCAGGAGTATCCCCGGATGGGTGGGTGGGTGGGCAAACCCTTTAAAAACTTTACACACCCTGTACACCCCGTAAACCTTATCAACCCTGTAAACCCTATAAACCGTACAATCCTGCGGGGTGCAAGTTCGGGGCATCTCCTCCTTAAATCCTGCTCGGTTACTTGTTGTTGGTCGGTTCGGGGTTTCAGTGGCATCGCCTATGTCCGCATTGCGCCGAAGCTGTGGCGAACCCCAACCCTCTAGCGACAGCAAGAACCCGGCCCAGCTGGGTGCCTGAAAAGAGTTCAGGGCTTCATTAGGAGGTTTGAGCTTTACCAGGAGGCTCCAAAGTATACTTCCTTCTTGGGTTCGTCACAAGGGGGTTCTAGTCTACTACCCCAAAAAGGTACTACATATAAGCATTCCAAGACATTTGCCTTACAGAGGCGCTCCCCGTTGCAAGTCCAGGCGGCTTCTCTCGCAGCTGCGCTTCATACCTTCGCGCCGGCCGCACAGAACTTGGATTGGCGGGCCGTAGGGGCTCTGGGGTTTATGAGGTTTATAGCGGTTATGGGGTATGTAGGGGGGCTGTCGGGTTTATACGGTTTCTAGGGTGTAGGGCTTACAGGGTCTGTTTTGGCGGCATTGCCCCAATGCACAACACGTCAGGCGCATGGCTCCAACTTTTGCTGTGTCCGAACGCCGTCGGTCCTTGCAACCTATAAACCCTAAACCCTGAACCCTATACCCCCACAACCCAGATCCCCATAAACACTATAAACCCTCTAAACTCTCTAAACCCTCTAGACCCTTCAAAACCCAGAACCCCTGTAAACCGGATACTATAAACCCTCTAAACCCAACCCATAAACCCTCTGGACGCTCTAACCCCCAGAAACCCTACAAACCGTATAAACTGTATAAACCTATAAACCCCATCGACCCTCTAAACCCTATAAATCCTCTAAACCCTATAAACACTTAAAACCCTATAAACCCCCTGAACCCTACACTCGGGGTATTTAGGGTTCAGGGCCTGGCCAAAAGCAAAGGCTTCTTGACAGTTTCTCGGGACAGTGGCTGAAGATTCCGGAACCCGATATTGAAGGTTTGGGGCTTAACCCTAAACCCTAAACCCTAAGCCCTAAACCCTAAACCCTAAGCCCTAAACCCTAAACCCTAAACCCTAAACCCTAAACCTATAGGGCCTGGGGTTTAGGCGTCTGTTCTTCCTAAATACCTTACACCGAGGCCCTCCCTCCTCGCCTGAGATTCTGGAAAGCACCTGAGATGCAAGTACCCAGGCGTCAGCGCGTGTGGTACTTTCCGGAGCCGGCTAGGGTTTAGGGTTAGGGTTTAGGGTTTAGGTTTCAGGTTTTAGGTTTTAGGGCTTTCGGGTTTAGGGTCGAGGGAACTTACGTTGAACACTTCCTGGCTTCACATGTGCGTTGCTTTGTTTGTTTCTTTGTTTTGAGTTCGAGAAGGTGCGGGCTTGGTTTGTTGTATTGTTTAGGGGAGCACTTTGGTGCTGCGAGGGTCAAGGGCCTTAGAGCCAGTGCAAGATCTGAATGTACATGAAGTAGGGTATAAATTTCTTGTATCCCCAAAAGGACACCCAAGATATGCACTCACCAAGACTAAAAAGGAACCTTATATACACTCACCAAAAACAGAAATATAAATCCTGCTTCACATGTTTGTTTTTGCTTTGCTAGTTCTATGCCGTAGGGAGCCTCCGCGTACAACTCATCCTGGGGCCTGCGCCCGACTTCAGCTGCAGCCGGTTTAGGGTTTTAGGGTTTTAGGGTTTTAGGGTTTTAGGGTCTTAGGGTTTTAGGGTTTTAGGGTTTTAGGGTTTTAGGGTTTTAGGGTTGCGTGGTAAACCCTAAACACATGAAGCCCAGAGGCCCTAGCAACCCTGAACCCTAAACCTCTCAATCGCCAGCCCATTTTCAAGCTTGTCAAGCCTCAAGCCAAATAGGGACTGTAGTCATGTAGGGTCGATATCCCGATTTTCAGGGGAGGCCAGGAAGGGCTCCTAACCCTCAACCCTAAACCCTAAACCCTAAACCCTAAACTCTAAACCCTAAACCCTAAACCCTAAACCCTACACCCTAAAAACTCCAAAAACCCGAAAAAAGGCTCTTGCGACCCATGGGCATCCCCCACACTTCTGCGCAAAGTGTGGGCAGCGAGGCGCTACCTGGCAGCAGATAGGGTTTAGGGTTTAGGGTTTAGGGTTTAGGGTTTAGGGTTTAGGGTTTAGGGTTTAGGGTTTAGGGTTTAGGGTTTAGGGTTTAGGGTTTAGGGTTTAGGGTTTAGGGTTTAGGGTTTAGGGTTTAGGGTTTAGGGTTTAGGGTTTAATGTTGCTGCGGCCCGCTGTTTGGGGGGGGATTCCGACACCCTGCTGCGGGTGGGTTTGGGGCTAGGGTTTAGGGTTTAGGGTTTAGGGTTTAGGCTTTAGGGTTTAGGGTTTGGGGTTTGGGGTTTGGGGTTTGGGGTTTGGGGTTTGGGGTTTGGGGTTTGGGGTTTGGGGTTTGGGGTTTGGGGTTTGGGTCTAAAGGTTCAGGGTAGCCCTTGAACCTTGATTTAAGACGAAAAGCTCGAAATCGATAAAGCCTTCGAAGGAACCTGAAAGAAGCTGAACCAAACACTTGAAATTGCCTAATATTCAGGGCTTGCAGGCTTTTAGGCTTATAGAGGGGTGATATAGGGCCCAAGGGTTTTTAGCAGGGGGAGGGGTTTTGTGTTGGAGGCTTGCCAGGTCCTAGCAATGCTCCTGTGGCCTTCGTTACTCTCACTGTAGGCTCCCTGATCAAACCCCAAGCCAAGCCGCGCCCAGGGCTGCCCTAAACCCGAAACCCGAAACCCTAAGCCCTAAACCCTGAACCCTAAACCCTCAATCCTGAAGGATTTTGATGTTCCTGGGCACGCCGGAACACGCCAGGCTGCGAAACCCTTAAGTGTCGTAGGTTTTTTCGGGTTTAGGGTGTATAGGGCTCTGGGGTTTAGGGTGTATAAGGTTTAGGCCAGGGTGAAAAAAACTAACCCTAAACCTAAACCCTAGACCCTAAACCCTAAACCCATGGGCGTGTAGGGTTTAGTTTGTATCCGGTTTAGGGCTACAGTAATGTGTGCACCCTCCTCGTCCGTCGAGGCAGCCGTCCGCTCCTCGATGGCTAACCTGTACCTCGGGGTTTAGGGTTTTGGGGTTTAGGGTTCTAGGGCTCTTCGGATTTCTGCGCGAGGGGGGGTGGGGGATTAAGATGGTTGTAGAGTACTTGGGACTAATGTGTGTGTGTGTGTGTGTGTTTTTTTTTTTTTTTGGGGGGGGGGGGGGGGGGGGGGGGAGTGTTTAGGATTATAAGCGGTATTTTGGGCTTGGGGTTGGGGTTTAAGGTTGAGGATGTTTCCGGATAGGCGTGGCCGGTTGGCTTCAAGACCCTACGCCCTTCGTCGGCCACGGCGTGCTCGATAAATTATTGACAAGTCCTAGTGGGTTTAGGATTTATAGGGTTTAGGGTTTAGGGTTTAGGGTTTAGAGTTTAGGGTTTAGGGTTTAAGGTGTCGGGTTGAGGGGAATAACCTGAAGATGGCGCAACGGCATCTTCCAGTCCTTGACTCAAAATAAGGCTCCACATGTAGTTTTTTTTTTTGTTTTTTTTCGTTCGGGGGGGGGGGGGGGGGGTGAGAGTAGCAGCATCCGGCCCTAAACCCTAACTCCTAAACCCTAAACCCCAATCCCTGAACCCTAAACCCTAAACCCTAAACCCCAAACCCTAAACCCTAAACCCGAGCTGTCACCTGCCCACAGGCCCCCAAGTGCTAAGTCCCAGGCTCACCAAGAGGCTCCAGTGGTTCGGTTTGGGTTTGTAGGGTTTGTAGGGTTTATAGGGTTTATAGGCTTTATAGGGTTTATAGGTTCGGTTTAGGGTTTGTAGGGTTTGTAGGGTTTGTAGGGTTTGTAGGGTTTATAGGGTTTATAGGGTTTATAGGTTCGGTTTAGGGTTTGTAGGGTTTGTAGGGTTTGTAGGGTTTATAGGGTTTATAGGGTTTATAGGGTTTATAGGGTTTATAGGGTTTATAGGGTTTAGGGTTTATAGGGTTTAGGGTTTATAGGGTTTAGGGTTTAGGGTTTAGGGTTTAGGGTTTAGGGTTTAGGGTTTAGGGTTTAGGGATAAAGGATTCTGATCGAGTCACATGAGCATGCTTTGCCGTAATTGAAGGAAGATTTCTGGCATTGGAGTCTCTGAGTAGTTTCAGGAGATGATATGCCTGCGAGCAGACACATCCTCTTTCGGATTTCTGAACTTGCCTGGCCTCACCATCGCGCCGCAGCTGGCCCGCCCAACCGCGCACTGACATCACTTTCGGGTACTGGCCAAACTTGGCCTCCTTGGATACCAAACAGGGAGTCGTCGGTGTCGTACTCTTGGCATAAACATCAATGCCCATTGACGACACTCGTTGGTGCAGTTGGGCTTCACTGCGGATCTGGGGAGTTGGATCAAAGGTAATAGTGAGGTCAGCCTGCTGTGCTGTGGTAGTGAGTGCCATAACTTGGCACCACTCCTGTAGACCCTTACCCTAAACCCTAAACCCTAAACCCTAAACCCTAAACCCTAAACCCTAAACCCTAAACCCTAAACCCTTTAAGGACAGAGAGGTCCAGCGCTGTTGGCT